CGAAAAATAAACGACAAAGCGCTATTGAATTAATTAGTTTCTTTCCTATTTTATACGGGAGCTCTACACTGTTAGCACGGTAGTGCGCAAATCGCGTTCGGTGGGATAGTCAGTAAAGCTGCGGAACAGGTGAGGGGAGAAGTTTTGTGCGCGTGTTTATGTAGCTTCTTCCGAAGGATGGTTTATAAAATGCCGCAAGTTTGCCGTTTCTCGGCTCGCAAAGTTATGAAGGGAGGGCACTCCAAGCCATGCTAGCTATGGGTTTTTCATAATTACAGTTAGAATTCTAAAAAATAACACGGCTAGGACTTTTCTTGTCCTCTTAAAAGCAAGCGACATTTTGGCTCCTGCAAAGTAAGAATGCCTTTAATGGATTAATCATTTCAACCCTGGGTCAAAATGCTTTTCTTCTCACATAGTTACCAAAATGAATGTAAAGTTATTTAACCATGATAATATTTGAAGCAAATTATTTCATTTTTCATTCTGATAATAGGAGATGCATAAAGAGATCCGGATTTCGTGGTAGACGTGTTTCATCAAAAAAAAAAGGAATACGAATTATTATGACTGGCAAGGAACTAAACAATAGTTCTGAATAAAAAAAAAAGCAGATTATGATCACAAGTACAAACATTTCTGGTAAATTGATGTAAGTGCCGAGTAAGAAGTGGTGAGAGTAATGAATTCGAAAAATAGCACCTCTACTTAAGACCATAAACTAAGAAAGCAGCGTCTACCATTTGGTTAGTAATCCTAATGTTAAAATTAAAGCGTTTTGATTGCAGCTTAAGGGAGTAGGAGGCTTCACCTATACATGCATTACGAAAGCCCTTCATTTATTTGTTAATTTCCTTTGTTTTTATCTATATTTATGACATGATAGAAAGTCATCCACCGTTGGAACATAAAAAATGCGATTTTCTTTAATGTTCACCTTTTTAAACAAGGTGGACCGTAGATTGAGCAGCGGTTTCCAAAAAAAGCAGAGTTGGGTGGTGCTTTTTAATTAGCCTTAAGGTGTGGCAAGGTAGTTGGCAGAAGGTAAAATTTGCCAAGCGCCAAGCTAATAGCCAGCCAGCCCACTTCACTGACTTGTCTGAGTGACTACAACTCCCTTGGCCTGTCAGAAACTGCCAAAGTAGAGAAGTAGTTTTCTCATGTCGATAGGCAATGCACTAACCATGCGATTTGATTAAAGTGCCACGATCTCAGTATATTCGGTAATTGAAGACACTTTAATCCCGCTTTTCGTCAAATGAAAGTAAACTTTACTCTCAGAGAGAATATCTGTAATGTAATGCAAACATGCTCCATGCGTGAAAGGACCTCCACAACAAAGGAGGACAAAGTGATGATTATCGTTTATAAACCCACTAAAATCTAATAATTCCTAATAGAGTGTTTAAAAGAGGTGTTAGTTGGAATTGATTTTGAATTGACCATGAAATATGGTTGTGATCCCATTTTTAGGCCTTGCAGTATGGTGATTTTGTACAGAGTCATCACATTAGCAAAGTTAAGCACCCCCGGGGTATGCACAGATTTTTGAACTTTACACAAAGCAAAAGTCACTCAAACATTTACAGCAGACTACACCGAAGTGCCTTTCAAAGGCACTGAAATTTATGTCTAAAATAATATTCAGGCTAGATTCCTTAAAATGCATTCGAAGGATGACGATAACAACAGCATTCGACTTAAAGTGGGACAAAGAAAGTGATGATAATGAAAAATCTATTGTGATGATACCACTCAGTGTACATTTGTTACCTGTTCAGGATCAGTTGTAGTAGAATCCACTTTGCACCAAATGTTATCCAGTTTCAAAAAGACTACTAAGAGACGCTATTCTCTTGTAATGAGCTTGTAATCATTTACTCGATTCATACGAAAATTTGCTCTCACGTGGCACAAAAAGTCAACCTCCTCCCCTCTATAGATGGGAGGTCTTCCAAGCACGCCACTTATTCCCCAGTGCCTTCAGTGTTGGCATCGCTACTGTTGCTGCAGCTTGCTGTTGCTATTGGTGTCATCGTCTTTTGTGCAAAGCCCTCCTCACACGCTCGCTTGCGTGCGCGAGAGCCCGTGTGGATTTAATTATTCAACACACAACAGTCAAAAGGCAAGCACTGGCATTTCAAACGCGATAGGGAGGGGAGAGAGGAAGGGGGTGAGGAGAATCGGGGTAGGCAGTCATTAAACAAGTTTCCACCCCCTTTACTCGCCCTTCCCTTCACATTTCATCCTCCTCCTCCTCCTGCGTGGAAGCATGTGCGTGCGTGGACTTTCCACTCTTTATGAATGGGTAGGGAGGTGATCTGAGTCATCAAGAAATTCAGCAGAAAGCAGAAATCGCCGACAATTCAAAATGCTGCCGAAGTGGACCACAGTATTAGAACTGTTGGGAACATTCTCGATGAAAGAAGAGAATACTAGTTCAAATGTTAATAATGGTGCCATAGAAAACACCGTTTTATCATGGCTCACTTGTAAAAAAGGGTGAGGATTTTTGGTGAATTCTTTACAATATTTAATAGGGATTAAAAAACAGTTAAGAGCAGTAAAAACTGCGACTAATAAGTTTACGATGCTGTTTTATTCCTGAAAATGGTAAAATAACAATTTGAGGGTCTTCAGGTTTGTTTTTTAATCATTTATTTGAAAATTCTGAGGCAATTTACTACATGCATGTAGTAGATACGTGCGTGCGCCAATGATTCCTTGACCCTAGGGCGTTCATGAGGGAAGAGACTATTATGGCTATCCGTGAATATCCGTCCACAATCATTCAGCTTCTTTTCACAAAGTGGAGATTTTAGTTAGCTTCAATGGTGGCATACACATGCTACCAACACTTTATACACTTCCTGTTTTTGTAAGGCCTTGCTTTTATCTTAGCGTTAATACCAAAGCCTGCATTTATCTTTACTTTTAGGAATTCCTTAACTGGATTCTCACACTAAGCACGAGGGTTTTAGTTTTTAGTTTTTACATGTGACACAACAAGTGGCCGTACATGGGTATGCCTTTCACTGTAAGGCCCTCGAATTTCGCTCCTGAAATCCGGTACGTCGATCTTACAAATTTTGCCACAGCTTGCGAACCTAAATAACAGCTTAGTAGGTTGAATTTTTAGAATTGTAGCATGAAAGTAAATCTCACTTATTTTTCTTCTATAAAATGTCCCGAAATCTGAGAAAGTAGGCAAGGTTGTTATTTTTGCAAATTTTGCAAGACTAGTCAGTCACCTTTCAACTACTTCAAGGAGTCGGGTTAGTTGCTGTACTTAGCACCGGATTATGCTAGGATTTCACGAGCACGAATCAGCTAAAAAGATAAATCGACAGATACATCTTAGAGGTGCACCACTGCACGCCCGCATTTTTTGCGGCAGCATAAAAAGCCGATCAAAATGTTGCCGGAAATGGTTCGACGTTGTTGAATCGGCTTCTGACGTTACCGTGACTCATAAGGTAATCGCTGCTTGTATTATTTTGGCCTGCACATTCGACAGGGCCTCGTGTCATGCCTTGTCAACAGGCATATTAAAGTTGGCTTCCGGTGGCAAGAAAAATTCTCACTACCTAAAGATCAAATCGAAATTCCCAGAGGTCTGTAAAGATGCTACGACAATCAGACTTAATTACAGCACAGGGCAACATAAAATAAGGTGCACTTCCTTCACCAAAAAATCATGTTCCGTATGGTTCTGTAACAAACACTCGACAGCACCACCTCATAACGAAAAGGCTAGCCGCCAGTTGGCAGGACCTCTAAATTAACGCTTTAAGTAGACTGGGGTATCGTTGTTGTAATTTCTTGCGCTAGACATCCTTATTTGTTGTAAGTAAATGAGTGGAGCAAGGTATTCACCTGGGAATACGAGCATATATAAAACCATGCATTTAATTTGCGAATGGGGATTGACATAATTATCAATTATAAACAGTTGACATTCGTAGATTATGGATGATTTGATATTGAGCAATTTAGGGATGGTACACAGTCAGAAAATTTCGCTTCAAATGGATGAGAAACTCAAAGAAATTGAATAAAATGCAAATAAACTTAAGTGGAAGACACCCAATCATTTTTTTTGCCTATTTACTCTTGTTAATACGAAAACTGTGAAAATGAAAAAGGAGGAGTGAAGTGTTGATGGTATCTCTTAGTGAACCAACTGCCAATCCATCCGGAAAGCCTTTAGTCACTAAATTGTTAACAGACAAGCATTATTACTGCTGTAAATTGGTGGGGGAGTTAGGTTACTTCATCTAAGCTGAAAGTTTCAGAATGTACCCAAAATCCAGTTGAACAGTCGCTCTTCGCAATAAACACATTAATTATTACCACAGCCACTTAAATGATAGGAAAGGAGTCCATCAATGCAAACCGAATGCCGAAAAACCAAAGTTTGCATTTAACTGTTGACTTACCTGCCCGCAGAAATCTAAGTCACCGCAAGGGTGTAAGATTGAGTTTACTTAAAATATATAAGTAGCGCGTCTACCGACAAGGCGATGAGATGGACACACTTGATAATATGGGTACGCAGCCCCTTCAACCCCCAAAACTTTAAAGGGATGCTATTCAAGTAATAAATAATATGCTCTATCTGTACTTTTATTAATTCTATTACGCGTATCTAGGAGACTATATGGACTTTTCCAGCCATGGCTTTGAAAGATCTATGCAGTTATTTCAACTCTAAAACGTTCAGATTATGTTTGAAGTGAAAGTTAAAAACTATTTCAGCCTTACATCATTTTTTTCATCTTATTAAAAGGCCTTTTATTTATTTAAAAAGACAACTTCTTTCTTTTAACACCTTTTGAAATGCCGCATTACCACTTTGAAAGATGATATGAATGTTGAATAAATTTGAATTAATGGAGAAAAGACTGGGAGGTGCTTCACAAATTTAATCACATTAGGACAAATAGACTGCATGTTTGTAGGCGACACTTTTGTTTGTCATTTGAAATGCCGTCCAGACTTCATAACTTTGAACAAGTACCCAAAATCACTTTGCCGGAAATTGGATATTCACTACTTTCTTGTTTTGCTGTTTGAATAACTTCTGAAAGATAAACCTTCCGCAGCTGGCCTCGGTGGAACCGCTCACATATTTTCGGTCCAGAAATCGCCTTCTTCTTTCTATGACAAATAAAAGTGCATTTGTAGTTCGACATTGCCGTACCGAAGGTAAATATGTTTTCAGTTTTTTCTCATTCGATGCCTGAGGTTGAATTACTTTTGTTAAACCCTCTACTACTTGTGATGAGAAATTCCAAAGACAGCATATTGCAATCATCTTAAGGACATCTAGTATTTGTATCAAATTAACTCATCTATGGCACTGGTGCAACTTTATCTCAAGGGGTGAAACAAAGAGATGGTTTTTGAGGAATTAGCAGTACAATAAGTACTATCCTATATGGTCTAAGTATTAAAAGCACCAGACTATGGGACGGACGGATGGCATTCGCTTATGCATTATGACGCAAACCTCAACAAGTGTAGATACAGTAAATGCCACCTTATGTTAGTCGCCTCCTGTTTTCTGGGTAGGTTAACTGCTGTAAATGAAACGGAGTCTTGGAATTTTCCACGTCCATCAAGAAGTGAGAGACTTGGAAGCATTCTCCACATTAAGAGTGCGTAATTCGAGTCGTTGCATACCTGGTTTTTGCGGAGATCAACCACTTCTATCCTGTGCATTCGCTTCAATTCATTGACAGTTTCCTTTCAAAAGTGAAAATCCAATCGGTTTCAATGTCTTAATGGACGTGACAATTTGAAGATTCCTAAGAACACTGGAAAATGAGATTGTTTACGTCCCATATCAGAATAAATTTGATTAGGCTTTAGAGCTTAAACTCGAGTGAATTTCCGGATAGGCCATGGTGACATAATCTGAAAGTTTAGGCTGCGGCTTCAGGAATCTTAAAACAACTTGCTTCTTCCTGGGAATGATTGATGTAAATACACATGACATGTTTAGTGCTTCAGTTGCCCAACTGATAAGTCACTGACAAGAGGTACCTCAAAGATAAACCTACTTTAGTACTGTTAATTAAATTTCTTCTCACAGAAAGCACCCTCAGACAGTGTAGATTCCTAAGTTCCCCTCGAATAGAGGTTAGGTAGTTATCGTCGAGGTTCAATTCCTCAAGGCAACGACATTGCAGCAATCCACCACACAGGCACCTCAGTTTGTTACCGCCAAGGTTCAGAACACGTAAGCAAGGGAGCGCACCCAGCACCTGAGGCGGTGGCAGCGCTCGCAGACCTGCGGTCTCCAGTTCCAGCTGCGTTAGGCAGTGCAGCGGAGGGCCACCACGCCTCTCCGTGCACCAAACCCCTATTCGCTCCGCCAAGATCCGTCTCGCAGCTCTCACATTCTCCATCTCCACGTCTTCCCCTGACAATGAAGCCATCCGAGAAAAAACTTGGTACAACCTATCTTTCTCTCTCTCTGTTAATAGTGTTTACGAGCACACAACCGAGTCTGCGTTTGTGCGTATCTAAGGGTGACAGAATATTTAATGTGGAGAGCTAAACGTGAAGTTCATAAGAGCAATTCCTCCTTCCTGGTTTTGTGTCACAAAAGAGCACCCGAAATACATTTGAATGTTCTCTGTAAGTGACTAGCATTTGTAATTATATATGCAAACATTAAGGTCTAGGAATGTAGATAATGCAATCTGAATCACAAACTTTTGGTGGAGACTAAATGAAAAAATAAAAGATTAATTAACCTTCCTGACTTTGGTAACTCCAGCAACGTTACTTCCTCCTCCTCCTCCTCCTCCTCCCCCACCGTTTGTGCTTAGCAAACAGTCAACAATGGCTGCACACAAGGAGCAACAACTGTTCAAATTACGCAGTAGTCGCACATTCTACGTAAAAGGTCCTCCCACGAACACAGCACTCGTGTCGCCTCCAACTGAATCCACGTGAAGACGCAGGTGCACAAAAGTTTATTTTACAACGCTATCAGTAAAAGATACCCCCTCCCCGAAAAAGAATAAACGAAAGGAAAGTGCGACAAGAGATGAAAGTTTGTCGAATACACCTCATGTTGGAAATAACACTAGTGCTATAATCCAAGCATCAGTCCACATAAACCTGCCTTTTACAGGAAAACATTCCCAAGACGAGTTTGATACAGTTTTCTTTATTTCCACCGGGTCTTAATAACCCTAAAATATGTGCACTACAGTTGAAAGTATATATTGTCGTATGAAGAGGGATGAAAGGGAAAAGCTCAGAAGAGCTTGAAACGGGTCCAGCGCAGTGTTTGGGGAATGCGAATGCCGAGACAGTTGAGGGTGGTGAGGAAGAAGGAAGGCAAGGGAGCGACGAACTGGCGCACCTCGCGTGGTCGCTCTCGGCTCAAAAAGGCGAAGAAACCCGGCGGAGGCTGAGACGGAGGGGCAGATGAAGGAGTGATAGCTGTGTCAGTGACACCGCCGAATTTGACGCTGTGCGCGTGCAGGTATAGGCCCAGGTAACGTGCCTTCGACTGGCGTATCTCCAGTGCTTCAAGAGTTCGTTTGGACAGGCGTTGAGGCGCTAGATACCCAAAATGTGCGTACTTGTGATCTCCTAAAATCGGTGTCTCCAGCGCTGCACTCAAATGAACACGAATTTGATGCCTCATACCTGTTTGCGAGGATGAAATACAATGTCTTGAGATGTGAAGAAGTCATGATGCCTAAGTAGCAAGTTACTATCCAACTAAGCGGTACTTTGGAGATACCGATTTAAAATAAGCCTGGTTTCCAGACTATGATGAGGTTTGTCAGACTCATACGATGGCTCATACAAATTGCAAAGAGCTGAACATTTTTAATTTTTTTGAGTACAAATCGTCAAGAAACATCGAATCTAGCCATTTTCAACTTTTCGTAAGTCATAAATGCTTATCGGATATATGGCGTAAGAACCCTCGAATCCCGCGTCACGGTCATATCAGAAATCTTCAACGTCCTCATGGCGATGGTGAATTACAATCCAAGCTTTAATGGGTCAATACTATGATGACGGGAATGCCTTCAACCCCCCAAAAAGATCCAGCTCGATTTTCTGAAAGTCCCACCTGATCGCTAATCTCCGGAATGTCAAGTCGTGCTCTCCTTATAGGAGCCTATGCAACAGAGATGTACTCTAACTCAACAGACAACTACACGAAGGGGCGTTACTGTAAATCACCGAGAAGTACGCAGAAGAAGCACAAAGGCAGTTTCCGTTCTGCATCCACCAGACACGTACATGCTCTAAACTCCTTATCTATCGTTCACCTGGTTGAAGGCCTCGATAGGATCCACGAACGCGGTCATGGAATCTAAGTTATGAAATCGTCAACCCAGTTTATAACGGCTGCCGACGCACCTTATAACTAGCAGCAACCCAGTTTATAATACATAAGCTCTACGTTCGCGTCCAATGACACCCATGGAGTCTTATTTTGCGATTTCCACTTTGTAATCATTACTTTAAGTGTATTCATACTATAACATTTACAGCAAAACCTAAATAACGCCCAAGATACAAATTTCGAATACCTTAGAAGTCTCCGACGCGGAAACACTACATTGAGATCTGAAGGAAGCAAGCTCAGATTTCGCGCTTAAAAATGTAACTAAACCGGGTCGGTGAATGCTCTCCAAGATGAATTGGGGGCCATGCCTCCAAAACCAGAGGCTCAAATACTAGCAAGGGGATCAGAGGAATGCCTGTTGGACCGACCTGTCACCGAGGAGCACTCCAGAAGAGCTGCATCATTACGCCTGTCAAGTACGTTGAAGTGAGTAATGGCGTTGGTCGTCCTACGTATTCTCTGAAGCCACTCATCCTCTTCCACTTCATCCCTCAAGACATCACCGTCTACTGGTAACTTGGGACGTGGGCAACGCGCGACCATCTGAGAAAACTGTCATGCATGCTTAGCCAGACTTACTCGGTACACACCATTGATTTGTTTCTCTGATATAGGCAAATAAATGGTGCCCTCTTTTTCGCGTGGGATGCCTGATGTGATACACAAGTAGGACTTACTGATCCAGCGGTTGGCAAATGCTTCAGTCAACTTAAGATGTGTGTCTTGATTTCTAGGGAAGAATGCAATCTACTCTATCTACCAATGTGCCACAAATAGATAAAATAAGAAAGCATAGTGTTTGGGTACCTTGAGATAAGGAGTATACCGGTTGCCTCCTTGTCGATTCTGTGAGTCAGTTTAAGAGCAGTGCTCTCACTGTAGGATTCGCGACGAAGTTTATGGGCTAATCTTGGAAGAAGACTGTCCACGCTGAAATACTGACCTTGGCCACCTATAAACAAATTCTCAGGTCAGCTAAGACATAGAGCAAAATACTACTAAAAATATAAATTAAAATAGTGTTTGTTTCAACTGAAACGACGAATCGGGTTTAAGTTACCATAAACTGCATTCCAACTTGGTTAACAGTGCCTTTTTCAGCATTAAGATAAGACAAAACAAATGTGCGGGCTGGGAGGACTCACCATGGCAAGCTATTCCTGGTGGTTTGTTGATCACAATTAAGTTTTCTGAAGAAAAAAGAGATTTCAATTATGCCTTCCAGAGTAAAAGTCAATAAAAACTCGAAGAGGGTGGGTGCTGTGCAACTGTCGATATGGGCAAGAAGGGTCGGAAAAAAGAAGACATAACGAGAACTTTTCAGAAATAGTAACCCATTCGATTTAAAAATAATCACGACAGTACCGGAGCAAAATGACATTGCTTGTACCATATTCGTAAAGTGTCTGAAAAATTGTGATTTAAAATAAAAGTACCACTTTTGTATTCGAAATTTTATCGCACCGTAGTATCAAGGGGGAATCGTAATATTACTTTGAAGTAGGTCTTAGAAATTGGAATACAAATGTAATGAAATGGCCGAGTAAGGGGCATAGGTACGTGTATGCGCCCATGGAAATTTTACTGTTTCAAAGGTGCAAATTGGCTTAAAAGATAGCTAGTTCATGAGCAATAAATAACAACATAAAAGGTGAAAAAGTAGATGTACTCAGAAGGGGAGACCTACCTTGAACGGCAATGATGCTTTTGTACAAAACCTCGACCGCCTCGTCCTCTGTGAGAAGATGGAATTTGATGGGATTATCGTCGGGTATACGGAATCCCTGAGAATCGTATCGCACTCTAGAATCCCGTTTTTCTCGGTACTTGAAGTCAAGTCCTGAAAAAAGACATAAAGAACCAATCAAGAACAAGAAATTAAATTACTCAAGACACAAATGGACATTTAAACAGAAATGCCCCCCACTACATGATAAAGCAATGTAGTAGGCATATGTTGTCATCTTACATTACCCTAAAAATCAATTTTGCGAGTCCATTAATGGAGGAGAAATGAAAGCTACTCGGTAAATCTAACTCACTTCCACCACTAAATTGGTTGATAGACAGTTGTTCGCGGACACCAGCAATGCAATCGGCGACACTCTCAGTGCCATCCAAATCAGAAGCCTCGCATGTCTTCGGTTCTTGGAAGTAGGATTGATCGATATACCCATTCTCCTCCACGTCGAGCGTGATCGGTACCTCAGTAGGATCATCCCACATCACTTTCTTAGGGACCTTCGGAAGCGGTTCTAAAACCGAAGAACTACTGCGAACGCAAGCTGTCTATTGTTACTAAAGCTTTAATTTCTGCATGCAAGTAGGAATAGTAGTGTTCAACAAGAGGAATAGGACGAGTTTCTTCTGTACAAGTGTATGTGTGATTACTGATTAAAATACATGTCAGTGAATGTATGTCCATATCCACTAGACAGTTCCGTTAATTCAACTTACACAACATGGGGAGCACAAATGAAGAGGTGTACTAAATAGCGCCATTAATAATACGCAAATCTAAACCAAACAGAACAGAACTTCGGAAGGGTAGGAATAATAGTATCGCATGTGCCAGTTTTGTGGAAGACACTAGGGAATAAATCAGTTTACGTATACGCGTACGTTCCAAGCAAAGAAAAAGAGTTCGACCCCAATCAAACTACTGCAACCACCTAACGATACAGGTGTTAGTATCCTGATCTTATATAACTATGTAGGAGTGGTTTTCAAGAACATTACCAGTCGAAATTTTATCGAACATAATTTCACAAAACAGCCAATTATTGGGGGTCAACTGCTATACTGATGCAGTCAAAAAAGCGAAATAAAATATCTAAGCTAAAAGTCAAAGACAAAAGCACCCAATTTTAGGATAAAAGAAGACTTACCAAAAAACAAGCTGTCAATGTATGATCCCTCACCCGATGTGACTTCCTCCTCACTACTTCCTGTTGAAGAGTTAGCATGACCGGAAAACATACTAATAACTTTCTTCGGCATTTGACGGCAAGACTGACCTGTATGGCTGCAAAAAAAAAACTTTTCTTACTACAAACAACCCATCAATGGAAAACCCCACACTTCAGGTCGAAATCTTTTTGGCCAAGTGTATCCTTACATAGATCGAAAGTAATCAGAAGCCGAAAAAGCAAACTCTCTGATGGCGAACAGAATTAAGGTAATAAACTTGCTTTGGAGGCGCGCTGAAAGCGTAACTCCCAGCAATCAACGTGTGATTAAGAAGGAATAGGTCACGAAGTGCCAGGACGAATAGACGATGCTCATGGCAAGAACTCAGACAGTATCCAATGCTAAAAAAACCCCTAATCATACACAAAAATGGCATTCTGAGACGCAGAAACCATTAACATTTTCCCTAAAGAAATTTAAACGAAACCCCACATTAAGTAGGGTATTAGAAGACGTACCCCTGTTATCGCACTTACACCAGGTTCGCAAAGACCCATAAAATTTTCTAAAAAGCTTAGAGACTGAACTCTGTGTTCGATAAGGGAACCGAAGATAATTATTGACACCATGGGCATCCGCTAGTATGGACTCCCGTTCGAAACTTTGGCTGGGGAAAACGATATTTAAGAAGAAAAAGTAAACCCACAGTGATGGAGAGGGTCGCATGAGAGTTTATGTTATGGAAGCAATGACATCAAAAGCTTCAATATCGAATTCCGATGAAAAAGCATATGCAAACACCAAATGTTTTGAAACTCATAAATGCATTCTGAGAAAGAGCTAACAAAACAAATAAGTTTACGGTGGATAAGCACGGCTTTGTAAAGATCACCAGAATTTTGAGAAGGACAATACGAGTGGGATAAAAAAGACGACCTATGATACAAAAACAGCAAAACTAGGAGACTTAAACGTGCAAAAGGGCCGGACGCACTCAAAGCACAATATCAAACCAATCAAAATAAGCGATATTTTAAGTTGCCAGGTCGGAAAAGAGCAAAATTTTGAATAAATATATACAAAGATAAAGTAAGGTTTTAATATTGGTTTCATCAAGAAGGTGTAGAGCAAGCAATATTTGCCGATTTTTAGCTGTAAACTAGAATTAGGTGCACACGTTAACACTACCCTAAGGTAGACTTTGCCACAAAATATGAAGAAGCATTTTAAACTACATTTGCAGACATGCGTTTTGATGAAGTTAATTCAGAATGGTCATGACCTTTGCCATGGATGGGCGGTTGTTTTAGTAGTTTTGTTAGGGTCTTGGCCGCCATCTTCGTAATTGTCGTTGAACCTTCTGCCTTGTGTGTCTGTGGTGGTGCGTTCGCTTGTTGGTGACGTTTCTGTATAGTACTCGGCTGTACCGTTAGTTCCTTCACTTATTTCCCTGTTTTTCTACACAAGTTGTCTGCTGCGATACTAGTTTAGTAGTTTGCTTAGTGTAGTCCTGAAGAGGCAGTGATTAGATTCCTCTAAGATTGTATATGTAAGACAAAAGTACTACAAATGGTTGATTGTACTGCATTTTTCTTGGGGTTAGTTTTGCTTTCTTCCCTTTGCTGTGAAGCAAAACGCCTTCTAGTGTTGTATTCACTAAACCTATTTAAAGGATAGTCGACTTTTAAAGCCCTAGAATAAAGCCTTTCGACCTCTGACTTTTAGTTGTTAGCACTTGCTTATTCAGTAAGTTCTTGAGACCTAGAAGCATATGATGTTTTTTTTAATTTTGTGCCTTTAGTTTTTCCTTGGTCCGCTGGAAAGGCCGTGCGATTGCTATGAATGAGTTCACGGACCCTAATGCTCCTGGTCGACCGTTTTCAAGTGTTTCCTCCGAAGCAGATGGAGCTCCTGATTCTTCTCGTTTTTACAGTGGCATGCAACGTGAAGCGCTACCGTTGTGCAACGGATCAAAAAAGTTCGACACCTCAGGAAATGGTGTTGGTTATGAGTGGTCCGCCACTGAGGAGTCTTCAATTGCAGACTTCAAACAGGTGCCTAGACGATCTAGAGAAATACCATTCGATGATTCCAAGTCCATTTGGAATAGTTCTTATGGACCCTTGAACGTAACGAACGCTCAATCATCCCGTATTTGGGGTTTTGGCAATCCCACATTTCCCGAAACTGTTGCCATAAAGGATTCTCAACGCGACACTCCTCTTACTCGCGTTTCACAAACACCTTATAATTGTTTATCGAATGTTGGATTTGGTTATGGTGGTGGTCTACCAATGTCTCCCGTCAACAAGGATATGACTGAAATAGGTCAGCAGATGATAGATCACGTCTTAGGTAATTCCCCTAACAATGCCTGTGAGTATTCAAAGTGTTTGTTCTCGCCCCATTTTCTGTACTTATTAATTGAATACGATGTTTTGTAATGCCATTTTCTTTTGTTTCCGTGTTTTTTATCTTTGAAGCATTAATTGTGATAATAGGTGTTACACTCACCCTCAAACTAATTTCATAATTGTTACAAATATTGGAAAGATTGTGCTTTCAGTTTTCTAGGTTGAAATACATGTTTTTTTATTTTTTCGGGGTTTTGACTGCATAAACTTGAGAATAAGTTTTTTTCGCATTTTTTTGGCAAAATCAATTTTAGTGTTTGTTCATATTTCTCATCTGGTGTTTATTTTAGTTTTTGTTGCATGGTCAGGATATGGTCAGCTCTCATTTCGTGGGTGTAACGTGCGGTTAATATTTTTTTCCAGGTGATCAACTTCTATCCGCGCACGCTCAAGTAGCTTCTGTTGATAACATGGTCTCTCAGTTTCTTTCGTCACAAAGTCGGCCGGATCTCCACACCGTGCCAACAGATCAGGCAGCATCTTCCCCGTACCACGCAACTGCAGAACAGCCGTTAAACTCACTTCCTGTGCCCCTCTTAGAGAACGGGGGAGGGATTGGGATGAAGGAAGCTCACTTACCTCAGGCATCGGTGCCTCCTATCGATTCCAGCAGCGTCGCATCCATTCTCAACAATTCTGCAGCAGTATCCAACTTATCTCGGTACCTAGCCACTCAAGCCGAGACCTTTCAAAATCAGCAGAGTGGTTGTCCTCCCCAAAACAGTGCTATGCCACGGGATATTGCGTTTTTAAGTATGTTTTTCTTCGTTCGGGGGCGATATTATGTTATCAGTAGGGGGTTTAGTTGGGTTCCTACGAAACTGTCTTTGAAGCTCTACAAGATTGTTACTTCTTCTGGGTAAGGCGTCATTTACTGGTTTCATTTGCAGAAGAACTTAGGTTCATCCGACTCAAATGGTAATCAGTAGAGGGTAGGCCAATTTCCAAACTTGCAAAAAATTGTACTGGGTCCATGAGGGGGTGAAGCTAGAAATTCAGCCTCCCAATATGTACAACTGGCTTGTTATGCATGGCTACCCTAGTAGACGCAAGTGGTGTGACTGTTATAGAGTGGTTAATCCTTTTAATTTTTAGCTGCTCAAATCGGTGCAATGCGGATGGATCCACATCATCAAACTACCGTCCCATCATTTTTACCTCCCATTACAACGAGTTCTTTCACCAACGGTTTTACTCACAGTGTTGCTGGTGATTTAACTGGACCAATGTCTACTGCCAACTTCACATCTGGTGCTTTCAATGGTCCTCCAGCAGCCCAACTCAGTAGCGCTTCTTGTCTCTTGCCACCAGACCAAATGGCAGCTGGATTCTACCCTCCAACACAAAGTGGCACCTCTTCTGTCGCCTACTTCTCCGGTGCTCCCTTTGACATTCGTGGGCCAACGCCAACACAACCACCGCTGTCGTTGCTTGGTCCCGAAAGTGTCCGTACACCTGGTGTTCAGTCCAACGATATCCCAGTTGGTGTGCCGACTGCACTGGCAACCCAGCAGGCGGCTTACTACGCACATTTACTCGCTGCAGCAATGAATGGTGGTGTCCCATCAGCCGCACCGCGAATGACCATAACGGTACCTCCATCTAATCTCTCCCATAACGGTGGTGCCGTCAGTGGAGGACCTGTAACCACTCCTTGTGCATATGAACCACATCTGCAGAATCAGAGCAGCTTAACGTCTCAGGGACAGTATAATGTTGAAAAATTCGAGGTTTGTTTTTCTGTGATCCAATCATGTTTTTTTTATTTCTTCGAGCCAGAGAACTTTTGAGCTCAAATTCCTAGACGGTTTCCTGATTCAGGTGCTTACAATTTAATTGATTTAAGTGGTTGTAATTTTTCTTGGATTCATTGTGTCCAGGATAATACTTCTGTGGAATCACTTTAACTCAATTTAGCGTGAAAGGCATTTTTACAAATTTGCCGATTTCCTGAACAATCACAGATGTGATTTGTCGCTCCCGATGGTTATTCATAATTGTTGAGACTGTTAAAAGTGGATTACGTAATCTTATGCTTTCGGTGTTTTATTGCGTTAAATGTATACATATTTTCGTGCTAAAGCCTCGCTTAGGATGAGTGCTAATAATTGTTGACGAATAGGCACCGCTTTTATTTTTGCCTCCAAGCAGTAGCACATTGTCGTCATCATTAAAATTTTCGTGAGTCTGCGTTAAGTTCGTTATGATTTCTCGGTTTTACAATGTAATTGCGTCTTTTTTTCGTGTTTGCGTTTCACTTTTCTGTGATATTATTAACCGATTGGTTACTCATTTCAATCAATCAACGTGGAAACTGGGATTGTGTATCAAACTAGTTAAAGACGAGCTTTTACGGTACGTTCTTTATTCATCCCAATACTGTCCTCAACTAGGCTTACAGTGATTTTCCCGATGGTGGGGGTAACGGTCTGACAACAACTATTCTTCCCCCTGGCTCAACTATGTTGCAACAGTTGCCTCCGATAGCATTCAACCAACAGCGTCCTCATCCTAGTTTCGTCCCTTCTCGACTTTCTGCACTTCCAATGAATCAACAGCAGCAACCACACGCACAACGATCTCCATTGTCCGACCCTCGTCTACCTCTCACTCCAACTGTGGGCGCAAACTTCTGTTTTGAGACTCCCATCACTCCAGCATCACATTATGCCACGACTCCATCTCCTTTTGCTCCCATGTTACCGCCTCCCTTTCCTAACGCAAACGTCGCTCCGCCCGATTGTCTGCCGGTTCACCCATCCACCCCTGATTTAAGCGTTCCTCCCCAGGGTTTCCCATCCAGCTTTCCTCCCATGGGCTTTCCTCGTCGCTTCATCACACCGCCGCCATCATCGTCATCATCACAACGTAGACCTCAGTTAAGTCGACCACCTCCGGTGGAGAACCCCAGCTTCATTGCAGTGCCTTCCCGAGGTATAAGAGGTCTTCAACCTGGCAATCAGCAGAGACTTCTGCTCTTCAAAAACCAGGCTGTGAATCTTTTTGGTCCTAACAATGTCGCTGGTAGTGCCGGCGCCGGTAGTCGTATGCCCTTTATGTCACAGTCTGTCCCCACTCCTGCCATGTTTTCTACGATGGCGTCATCGGTTCCAGGGGTTTTCCCAGCTGTTTCGGCTTCGGCAATGCCAGAACGGAGTCGCCTACTGGAGGATTATAGGTTTGTTTTTATTATTTACAATTTTTTAGTTTATGCTCGTGTAGTGTGGATTTTCATCATTTCAATCCTTGTGACATTATAAGTACGTTTTTGTGTGTATATTCATTGGTTCGCCTATTCTTTTAGTATAAACATTTTTAACTGCGTGTGTAAGGTTAATTTGGCCTTATTTGAGACAGATTTAGTCACATTATGACATTTAAATAGTATACGGTTAATTTTCCAATTACACCCAGCACCCTTTCTGGTTCTACCGTCTTTTTATGGCTAAGACTTTATCGCAACTCCAATCGTTTTATAAATGTTAATCTGGATTTAAAGGCGCACACGTTTTATTATTCAACTAAGTGGCAGACCACATAAAAATTTTAATTTCTAATAAAACGAGGAAAGTTTGCTGTAAATCGATCACCCAATTTTTGACTATGAATTGTGCATATTGGAGTTTAGGTTGCGCTTCTTAAAAGCAGTTATTTGGGGTGTTTTTCGGCTTATATGATTTTTTTTCGTGCTTATGATCAGTTGCGTGATGAATTACATTCTTGATATCTTTTATGCTGTTCAGTTGATTTCCTATTTCCCCTTGAAAGGTATACTCGAATGCCCTTTTTGACACTTCACGATTTGGTGGGCCACATCGTGGAGTTTGCACAGGATCAGTACGGCTCTCGACTCATTCAGCAAAGATTGGAACAGGCCAGTGCTGTGGACAAGATTGCTGTCTTTCGCGAGGTCATTCCTCACTGTCATGTCCTCATGACAGACGTCTTTGGCAATTACGTCATTCAGAAGTTCTTCGAGCTCGGCACTCCTGAGCAAAAGAGAGTTAGTGTTCTGACACAATTTTGAGTAAAATAGGTTTTCTCGGTTGTTTTATTCCTTAACCCATTTCCGCGGCCTCTTTCGTGAGCTACTATCCGCGTTACAAGTCAAACATTACTGCTTACTTAAGGCTCTTCTAGGTGATAGCCTTACCATCTCTTAAGGAATGCTAGTCCTTAAACTTTCTATAGTCCACCGAACAATTTTAGACAAAAGCTATTTTTATACTGATGAATAACTAAACGTTTATACGGGGTTTCTGCATTTATTGGCATTTTATGTATTTTAATACAAGTTCCACAAATGCTAACTCCATTAAAATGGCACGAAGCAATGTCGTTTTCTTAGTCCACTAGTATTACTTGAAATAGGCTAGTTCGCATATCAGTAATATTCATTTTAAACACTTTCGGTTTCTTCATGGAAGCTGTACGACTTAAATATTGCATCTATATGTTGAATTGTCGTTGTATCGTAAGTTCTTCGCTAATCTTATAGCTCTCGTAATCCCTAGTTATTTTGCAATAGTGTTTTATGTTGTTTAAATAAGATTGTCATAATTTCGGAACTTATCATTGGCATTCCATTGTATCGTATCAATCTATCCTTCTTGGTTTCAGACGTTGGTGCAGCAAATAAAGGGACAAGTACTGTCACTTTCTCTCCAAATGTATGGGTGTCGAGTAATTCAAAAGGCCATTGAGTCTGTCAATCTAGAGACGCAAATTAACCTAATGAAGGAACTTGAAGGATCTGTGCTGAGGTGTGTGAAGGACCAGAATGGCAATCACGTTGTTCAAAAGTGCATCGAATATGTTCCTTCTGAACATCTGCAATTCATCGTTGATGCTTTCAAAGGAAATGTAAGCTTCATTCCTTTAATCACTTTTGCTACGCACTCCATCGTATATCGAATGCGTTTTGTTTTTTTTTCAGGTGCATTCGGTTTCAACACACTCTTACGGTTGTCGTGTGATTCAGCGCATTTTGGAGCACTGCAGTGCCGAACAAACGGCTCCTATTTTGGAAGAGTTGCATCAGTGTGCAGAGTCACTCTTCGAGGATCAGTATGGGAATTATGTTATTCAGGTATTTAACCTGTCGGTTTTTCTTGTACTAATCTCAAGAATGTGTGCATAATATTGCTTATGGTATGCTATTATCCGTCGTTTGAACTTTGTGAATTTCGGCTCAATAACCCCTTAAATGGTCATTTTTCACGTAATCGGGAAATCGTGCACGGCTTGCCCTTTCGTAAGTACTAATTCTGGTCATAGCTGTTCACTGTTTTAATTATGGTTATTATTCATCTCTATGCAAATTCTCTTATCCTACTGCACAATTGTACCCTTTATAAAGCCTATTATCGTCGATTCCTTTTAGCACATATTCGAGCACGGCCGAACGGAGGAGAAGAGTCGGATGATTACTCGCCTTCGAGGACGAGTAGCTGCCCTTTCCGTGCACAAATTCGCCAGCAACGTTATTGAGAAGGCTGTCACCAACGCTAGTCGTAAGGAGCGACAGGCCTTAATTAACGAGGTGCTGCAGAATGTTGATCCAAATCAGACTCAAATCACCCCGGTGGAGTGTTTGGATGAGAGAGAAGGCACCTCAATCTTGTGGAACATGATGAAAGATCAATTTGCCAATTATGTGATACAAAAAATGCTTGACGTGGCGGAGCCACCCATTCGCAAGGAATTGATGGCGCACATCCGACCCTATATCAATAGCCTCCGTAAGTACACTTATGGGAAACACATCATCGGCAAGATGGAGAAATACTACTTGAAGACTGTCAGTAGCAGCCACATTCCTTATTTTCCACCGGAGGAGTTGGACAATGCAAGTCTACACTCCTCGTCTTCCTTAACTGGATCATCAAACTTACCGACTGGGGGGTCGATTGTGACGGCTGATGAAAACTCACACACTTCACCTCCTCGAAGCGAGTTTTTGCGTCATGCGACTGCATCGGGAAATCATTGTGCTTCAAGTGAGGATGGAAATCAATTGGTAGATACCGAGGCGGCACTCGCTAGTCAGTCAGTAGTTTCGGAACCAGTGGAAGCCTAGCATCTTGTGAAATCGTGCATATCCGTTTCATTTTCACTGTCATGGTGTCATTTTCGTTATCTGTATAGGGTCATTTCACTATTTCCCCCTCCTTAAAATCTAGAAGTCCCGCCTGTGTATATTCAAACAGGTCAGTGTAATGATTTGTTGTAAATTAGTTTTAACACTTACGGTCCCAGGTCTCCTTGTATTCATTTGCCTTTCGGATTACTTTTCGTTTTTCTGCTACACACCGTGGTTGAGAGCACTGTGTTGACTAAAGAAGCTTTCAAACCGTTTCTGGTAACGTATGTGAGGCTAGTATGACATTGGATTGTTTGTTAACACCGGCACCTTGACCCGGAGGTAGGGTCTTCTCTGTGTCCCATTAAAAATATAACAAACACCCGTACATTGGAAATTGTATAATTTGTATTAATATCTTTATAAACTCCCGTACTTCTCTCTATGCGCGCCTTTTAACTTCCAGTTCTTCGAGTCGAAATTTGTACTTACGGGCTCATGAATAATGAAGGAAACAGATAGGCGGATTTTGCGAATCGCTTTTATTCTATAGTGGGTCGGGTTTGCTGTGTTTGTGCGCAAAGCTTGCTCTAGGTTAATGCATGCACGAGTCACAATCACGATTTGACCACTTCACACTGCTTCCTGGTGGGATGTTGAGTGAGCCTTTTCGTGATGGAAATCTCGGTTTCTTTGTGTTCCTGTATAGTGTATTTGTCAACTTGGATTTCTGGGCTTGGGTCTGCAGTAGGGCCTTGAGACTTCTTAGACCGTTCCTCATTTGTTTCACTTATATATGTTGATGAAGCGTAGTTGTATTGTGCGTTCGCAGTTGGGAATACAGCCCTACATGGGGCTTTGAGTTCATCGTGGACCTGGGACATTTGCAAAGGTTCGCTCTTTCATGAAGTTGTTTCGGAGGGACCTGAAATTCCATACTAAATTCTGGACTTCGTAGCTAGTGATTTGATGGATATGTGACGGTTTTTTGCTAAAGTGGTGGCTGCAGTGCATGGACCCTTAATGTGGCTCTCAAGGTTGTCAAGACGCTACAGTCGTTTAAGGATGACGATGATATCATCATGGAGGTTAGTTGGATTAGGGAGTTGTTAATTTCAGTGGCACCTCCATCATCGAGGTGGCTGGCGCGTAATGCTAATATTAATTGGCCATATAAAAAAGGTAAATGTTCTAGTCACTAAGGTCCTCCAAAATTGCATCTACATTTGGCGGTGTGTGCCAATTAACATAACAGAGCCATTCGCAAAATCCTCAGGCCATCTACGCACTCTTGCTTACATTACTGTTTTAAGCCCTTAAACTCATGGCCGCATTGCTTCCATTAACATTTCAGCACATGGACTTCGTTAAGATCTTTGATACCAGTTCGGAATGTTTATGGTGCAGTTGTGTCTGGAACCTTGACTTAAATCCCTTCCCGGCAAGTCTCGGATTTTGCACGATGAAAAATGTTCTTTTAAAATACTAAAGATCCATAAGAGGCCTATATTCCATGCTAGCAGTAAAACACAAGCAAAATAGCAGGTGGCGTGGACATTTTTTGCACTGAAAAATAAGGACAAAAATGTCTCGTTTTAGGTGAAAAATCTTTTTATAGCTGAATAGTAAGACCAGTTTTGATCAAAAGTTTTAACTTAAACATTAATATAAAGCGCAACACTGGTCTACATTGTCATAATTTAATTGCGAATATTTGTTTGTAATTATCAAATACAATGGACTCAGTTGCAGTACCAGATTGAAGACGAGTAGGTCTGCGCAAAATGTCCGGCAATGTGGGTATGGAACGGCTCATACCCCTGGTAAACAAACTCCAAGATGCGTTTTCCTCTCTTGGGGTGCCTCTTAATTTGGATTTACCGCAAATTGCTGTCGTCGGTAGCCAGAGTGCTGGAAAAAGTAGTGTTTTGGAGAATTTTGTGGGAAGGTATGAATACTTACCAACTCATTTGCTGCACAGGGACTTTTTGCCCCGAGGAAGTGGCATTGTTACAAGAAGACCTTTGGTCCTTCAGCTCATTACATCTGACACAGGTTGGGTGTATGACCGTTGAAATTACTCCCTCTCTCTTAGAATATGCTGAATTTCTGCATTTAACTGGTGTGAAGCTAACCGATTTTGATGATGTCAGGAAAGAAATTGAAGCTGAAACGGATAGAGAAACCGGGACAAATAAGGGGATATCAAATAAGCCCATAAACTTAAAAATATTTTCACCTAATGGTATGTTTGTTTTCCACTAAATATTTCTATCATATCTTATGATTTCCCAACATCACCTTTGTTAGTAGACTTGAGCTTTATTCTTAAAAAATCTTAAAGAGTAAGGCCTTGGACTTTGGTTTTTAGACTAGATTGAGTTTTGAGCTCGGAGTGATTGCCTTCCGCATACCCTTGGTATGGCATGAATTTCGAAAGAGGTGTTTTGTTTTACCGCTGTTGGTGTTATTTTTCATCTGCAAACTTTGAATGTACATTGTTGCGCATGATGAAGCATTTTGGCAGAAGCCACTTGGAATGCTATATTTTATTGCCTTAAACGATTGACTGCCATCTTTTTAGTTCTTAATCTTACTCTGATCGATCTACCCGGCATGACAAAAGTCCCTGTGGGTGATCAGCCTTCGGACATATCCACGTTAATCGAGGAAATGATTCTTCAATACATAAATTGCGATTACTGCCTTATACTGGCAGTTTCTCCAGCCAATTCTGACTTGGCAAATTCGGATGCCTTAAAGATTGCCCGAGAGGTTGATCCACAAGGCCTTCGTACCATCGGTGTGATCACAAAGTTAGATCTAATGGATCACGGAACTGACGCGCGAGATATTTTGGAAAACAAACTTTTGCCTTTGAGGAGGGGTGTGTCTGATCTTGTAGTTTCTCTTGTTACTTTTTGAGTAAATAATCACAAGTAGGGACATAAAAAATATCATTTTCTTTTCTTTTCCAGCGGTCCTATTCTTTACTTGAGGATCTGAATGAGTGGTTCTTTGTAACCTAACTCTGCACTTTGTTGCTCCATGACGAAAAACGATCTATTACAAATCCTTAAATGTTATCTAAAACTACCGTTACTACTTTGGATCCTCCCTTTCCCAGAACAATAGTGTGTTGTCGTAGTGTTTGTTTCGTCTCTAATATCTTAGGTACAAATCGCACGTTATATGAAAAGGGGCGGTTTTTCATAGGCAAATGAGGTACTTGTGCTCTTCAAAACATACCATAGTGTAATAACAATGGTCTAACTCATATTCTTTCCTTACTCACAAAGATGTAAATGCTGTGTAAAAAGCCTGACTGCTCTGCATTAAGGTTATATTGGCGTTGTGAACAGGAGCCAGAAGGACATCGAGGGCAGAAAGGATATCACTACAGCTATAGCTGCGGAGAGAAAATTTTTCCTCAGTCATCCAGCCTACCGTCACATGGCCGATCGCATGGGCACGCCCTACTTACAGCGTGTCCTCAATCAGCAACTGACTAACCACATTCGCGAAACATTGCCTGGCCTTCGAAACAAGCTTCAGTCACAAATGTTGGCAATGGAAAAGGATGTTCGGGAATACAAAGCCTATCAGCCTGCTGATCCCTCGTTCAAAACTAAGGCTCTAATGATGTACGCCACTAATGCTAGATTTAACGTATCGCCTATTTCAAAATTCAGCACCAAAATGTGAATTATCAATAGTATGTACAGCAATTTTGGGTTTTTTTTTTCTCCCTCGAGATGATTATAACATGGCATATTTAATAAAATACACAAAGCATGTTCTTTGGTTGATCATTTCTTATCATGCACTAAGGATTGCTCTTGGCCATAGAAAAATATTTTGGTTAGAATTGTGTTTTGTTGTGCTTTTTCGTAAAAAAATTTCGTAATAAATGTCTAATTTCACCCGTTCATTTCACCGGTTGTATCAAAAACTCTGGAACATTCTTCAGGCTCTAGAAACCGCATCTCACACGATGAACGACTTTTAAAAGTAGAGCATAACCATCATTAGTCACTTACCTTACAGATTTCATGCATCATATGTTCGATAATTATAAATAATTTTGCTAGGCTGCCACTAGTGTTTCCATACAACCACGATCTGTACATGGGATTTGGTCATCTCATCTGAGGTCAATGGGTAAGAGTAAATTAGTCATGGGTCCTACCCTACATCTTGATTGCTTGCTTAACCTGTCACTGCTCACCTTATATTTTGGTACTCTTATCCCTTTCAAGTGCTGTAAAGAGTTTCGAAGTTGAATTTACGCAAACTATTGACGGGTCAGGATCGGAGATCGACACTAAGACTTTGTCCAGAGGCGCCCGAATTAACCGCATATTCACTGAACGCCTGCCCTACGCCCTAGCGATGGTGAGCGTAAGATTTGATGAGATGTTATTTTCTTCTGTCAGCTAACATGAACTTTTTGACAAAGGCAATTGAAATCACTCAAAGGACTAGGGTTTACTAGACATGTCCCGAGCAGACAATAAATATGGTCGATTCAAAATAAAATAACGTTGGACGGGCATGGTGGATGCGCGGACTTGTTAGAATGACATCTGACCTGCGCCAAATGTGCCTAATGCTTTGGTTTCTCCCCATTTACAGCTTCACAATGACGGTGAAGAGTTGCGAAGGGATATTAGCTTTGCTATTCGCAATATTCATGGAATTCGGTGAGTTTATGGTCAGTAAATCTTAGATCAAAAGCATCGTAGCTTCTTTTTATGGCCACAATCATATCCTAAATCGATCCCAATGTGATTGTTGCAATTACACTTTAACAGTAATCAAGCTGACTTAAGCAAAATCGTCATCATAATCACAGTCCAGATTTTGATTTTCACCAAATTATCCTGCAGTCATATCACTATAAAAACTAATTTTTGCGTTTAGGATTGGAAGAGGGCTCAATGGTGGCCTTTTGTATCATTGGGATGACATGAATGGATTTCACGGCAAACGTCTAGGAAACCAAATTAGCTATCTGTTTAATTTAGAGGAATCTAAACTAAAGTAGTATTGTTTATCAGAATCTCAACGATAATGCCCTTTAACGCAACTCACACTCACTACTCCCCAGCGAAAGCTTTTGACGACAAGTTCTCCACATAAGCATTTGCACTTTACAATCTTATCTACAACACTTATTTTTGATAAGGCTTTGTCCAAACAAGTTTTTTTGGTCTATGCTGTAGCTCTGGATTGTTCACTCCCGATCTGGCCTTCGAGACAATTGTCCGTAAACAGATCGAACGCATGAAGGATCCCTCGCTGACCTGCGTCGACCTGGTTGTCGAGGAGCTGATTCAAATAGTACACGACTGTACAAACAAGGTTAGCTCCCTTCTTGATCATCTAATACCACATTTATGAAGTTTTTATGCTCCGTTGGCCCATTCGATTTCTAACTTCGGGTTAATGTATTCTGTATATTGTGCTAAGTTGACCACTTTCCCAAACTTAACTTGGACCAAATGTAACAGAACGCTAGTTATAGATGGTACTTACTCCAAAATTTATTTCCGGATCATTCAGCCTATAACTTCTTATTTCTATCGAATGCTGACTACACAACACGCATTCTGATTTACACACTGCCGAATTCTCGTGAACAGGCATACATGTCTATATCGATATCAGTAGTTCTTATTTCCACTCCTTCTTATTGTTATGGCCCTAGATATACATTGAAAATACTAGCAGACCTTTTAAAGTATGAATAATGGCATTGACGAATATATTTCATGCTCGATGCTTCTCTTGGTCTCTCATCCTCATATGAATCACTACTGTACTTTATCAGTGTCCAACGTGCGATACCGAAATCCCATTGATTCTTATTCATTTGTCTCCTTCCTATTGCAATACTGCCTTATTTCATACAACTCTATCGATTTGGCGTTTGTAGGATAAAAGATCTCGCCTTACACCTGTTCCGTATTTTTCAGTAAAGGCATATTCTCTATAACTCTCTTGCGGTTCCAAAGGCGTTGTCTTAGTCATCTCCGCAAGATGGTATTTTACTATTAGCCGTCTCGAGTTCGATTTTCTTGCATCACGGGGAATGCGAATTGCCACAGCCAATGGCAACATTCCGTTCACTCCAGCTCCATCCAGCCCGAGGGCTGTGCGTGTGCACTGGCCGTAACGTTGAGCAGGCGATCGTGTGCGTTGTACGCGCGAGTCCGTTTATTCGTCTATCGACCACGAGAAATGGCCTCCCCACCCCAGCGATTGGTGCACTTGCGGTGTGCGCTCTCGCTCTCTCCCTCCTTCCATACACACCGCATTGAAAGTCACTGTCACGTAATTTCGTCTCCTTCTTTGGCTCTGGGTGCTCCGGAGGCGAATGCTCCTTTCTTCTGGAGTTACTACATACCCAATGTACTCTAGCTAGGCTAAAAGAAATTCTAAAGTGAAGTCATTTCTATTTTGGCGATGTGGTTCGGCTCCTATATGCTCGCATCCACACTACTTTACGAAAGTTATAATTGAAGACTATTTGTCCTCCTTGCGTATCTTTTGCCACAAAGCAATTTAAATGGTCTCATTAATCTGGTTTTCCTAAGTACTTAAGTATAATCCATTGTTAACTAGGTAAAAAGTGGCAATCATGCTGCGCTCTGAGCGCAATAAGTCGGAAATTTGTGTGTGGATGCGTGCATGAGGCAGTTCAAATGGGGAGTGGATCGGACGCACGTAGTCCGCGTGACGTGGCGTCTGCTTTGTGCCAGCTGCTATTTTCGAGTCAATGCTTGTTACTTATTGTGTGAAACAGTTCAATCTTGTGGTTGGTGCAAGTGGTGTTTTATCAATGAAAATAAACAAAGTTAGTTAATTTTAAAGGTCAAACATTTGGCGTTAACGATTATTTTGAGAACCTGATGAGCACAATTTGTGTAGTCGTATGTTGGCATATTACAGTTTGTTTTTTTAGGGAGAAAAGGTCTTTTGTATAAAAGGTGACTTGTGATATGATTAGACTCCTGCACGTACTATGACTGAGTGGCTTTCGATAGAATAGAATTGCAACCCTACAGTGTTCTATCCTCTTGTTCCGTGTTTTCCTACGCCCAGAATAATCATAGTGATCAACATTTTTTCTTTGTCACATTTTCCAACTTGAACTACGGTCCAGACTCCCGCCTCCAGTTCCCGAATATCTAAAATTCAAACCTTCATATGGACGACCGAATTCTCTACATGGGAAATGGAAAGCAGGTGTTGCACACATGCAAATAATGAGCACGAGAGTAGGTGGTGGGTTTCTCATCTCTCTTGACAGATGGACTGCTTTCCGCATCTTCGCGATGCAACCGAGCGTATCGTGACGGAGCGTATTAAGGGAAGGCAGGCCGACGCCCGCGATAAGATATGCCTCCTGGTGGACATCCAACTCGCCTATATCAACACCAATCATGAAGATTTCATCGGCTTCGCAAGGTAATTTTGGGAAATGGTGACTTTTACTACACTTAGCGGATAGATATTCGTTTTTCATCCTTTACGTTGGCCCCTAAATAATACCAGAGACTGAGTTTATCCTCCAAATTTACCACTCCAAGAACCACCTTTTCATTAAATGTTGTACTTATTGGCCCTAGAACTTCACATAGGAATTCCTGATGCTTTTGCTGACACTACCGATGTTATACGATTTCATTTTGGAAGAGTGGAGAGTTTTTTTAGTGGGATGGGAAGGTGTCATTAACTCTTTCAGTCCGCGCTTTTGCGTAGCATCATTGTCACTTTTTTTCAAAATGAATGCATCTTTCAGCAACAATCCTCAAGCATCTGTCTGCTGTCATTTTTTAAAGCACTTTTTTGATGTGGATGCAGTGTCATTTGTCCCATAGTTGCTCTACTTTGAATGGTTAAAGGGACAATAAAGTATATCGTTTTTCTTCACTGACATGCAATCACTTGCGTAACACAGCCCAGTCAAGGAAAGATATGCCATAACAATTCCGGAAGGATGCGTGGTGCGCATTTGTGAGATAGTTTTCGTCAAGCGTTTTGAAATTTGGCTTCTTGTATTGCATACATCTATTGATTTCAGCTCTGTATGTTGCTATTTCTGGTCTTATTAGTACAAATTCCACGTCTCAGTCGTGACCTTGTACCGTTTTGCGATATAAAAGCAATGTCATGAGGAGTATCAAAAAGGGTTTCAACGTTATGGGTGCCTCGAAGCGTTAAGAAACTGTGGTAGATGACTGGCCCCAAAAAGAAGGTTATTTTCAATAAACGATCAGATAATATTTTATTGGACCTACTCTGATACTTTTGAGTACAAATCTATTGCGATATTGACATGACAGCCCTTGAGATTGCGCGACTCGTGCCTGACCCGACTTTGCTGATAAATCTTCTCTTGTCTTTGTTTAGCGCGGAACAACAGTCATCTGATGTTAACAAAGTGAAACTGGGCAATCGAGTGAGCTTATTTTTTACTACAAACAGAAATGAACAATATAGCATTTGCACCTCCCCAATAAGCTTTGTTCATGCATATGCTACATTGTTTCGCTATGCAATCACTCGAGTATGATTTAAAACGGCTAAAGACTTTAAGTCGATATAGAGTACCTAAAAAATGTACTTGGTCGTGTATTGTATGCATTTCCAGAAAGTAGAACTCCCGCACTTACTGTAGACATTCTGGTGGCCTCTGGCTTTTGAGCAAAGTTGAAATGTAGTTTTATCAGAACTGTATAACTTACGGTACAGAAGTCCGAAGAAATAAAGTCAAATGCTATACCTACACCTCAATCCACCATCCATCCACTGCCAAGATCAGCTATTGTCAAGTTTCTATCCTGCCCTTTTCAAGCGTCATTAAATTGGGTTCCGTAAATTCCATTTTTTTTCTTATTCTGTTTATGCCCGTCATGAGTCAGTGCATCAAAATACGGTACCCTGTAATTTCGTCGTGTTTTGGTTGGTATTTTCCCAACACAAACAAAATTTGATGTAATTAACAGCTAATGGACTATATTCTAACAAAATAGTGATTTTTTGAGGATGCTGCAAAGTCAACCTTACGAGTGTAAAATATTTTCGTTATCACTTACTGCATAGCTAAACTTAGTCTGTAGACTTTATCTTCATCCTCAACTCATCGAATCTGAGAGTGATAATGCTTTGTGTCTAAGCGAGTCAATGAATATCACAAATAGGTGTGAAATCACTATGCCCACGTGGGAGAGGGGGTTTAAGTTTGCAGAATATTCTCATTTTGTCAGACTTGTGTTGCGTTAATAAGCTATAATACGCGTAAGGATTAAGTTAATAGTTCAACCCTGCGTTCGTTACACCGGAGCGTCCCCGTGATATTTGAATCCTGTTGATCTCAAGACAGCATATATGTATCGCACAAAAACTCACAACTTATATATGGTCTTACGCACAACCACCAGGTAATTCGACGAGGCTGGTTGGGCCTGCAAAATATCGCTCTCATACGTGGCGGCAGTAAGGACTTCTGGTTCGTCCTGAACGCGGAAACTCTCACCTGGTACAAGGACGACGATGTAAGTGCCGGCTTCAATACTCATTCCTTACCTACGATTTATCTGAGATAAAAAATACTCTTAAGTCATAAGATTAGTTGGTGTAATGAATAAAGTGAACGTAAAGGGAGTAGAAAGATGTACCTTATAGATACAACTGCGCTGTGCTACATTGTTTGTAGGAGAAGGAGAAACGCTACGTCCTGCTCTTAGATGGTCTGAAAGTCAAGGATGTTGAATCGAGTTTCTTTGGTAAGAAGAACGTATTCGCGCTCTTTTACCCCGATGGAAGGAATGTATACAAAGACTACAAACAGTTGGAGCTGAGTGCAGAGTCTGCTGAAATGGTCGACTCATGGAAGGCGTCTTTTATGCGTGCTGGTGTTCAGCCAATGAAACCCATTCAGCAGCAGCAACACCAAGAGGTGAGTGGCGCCCATCTTCTTCTAATCGATAGCCCTCCTAAATTGAATTTCTTCAGTGACAGATGAATCAATGTTATTACAGACGGATACTAAATAGGAATGTTTTCAATTTTGTCTAATCTAAATAGCATTATTTGATATTTCTTGAAATCGTTACAGTAAATTGTTTCACATTTGTAGGCATGCTAAACATGCTATTGGGAGTGAAGCGGGTGTCCACTAAGTTACCAAATAGAGTAAAGGACTATTTCGGTATATTCTTGTGAGTTGGACATTTGACAAGACACTTACCCGTTTCTCCTCAAAGAAATTTGCTTCTGTCAACGTTTTAAAGTCATTTCTTTTAAATTCTTTTACAAAATCGTAAAAAAATTTCTTGTCTTGACATGCACTGGCCCAAAGCAGTGATCCTAGGAGGGGAACTTTAACCAGAACTGACTATTGATTTAACAGAACCATAATTCAGGAGATCCAAAGCATTATTGAAACTGTTTCGGTCAAGTTACAACTGTAAAAGATAATTTTGCAGTCATTCTTTTGATAAATTTGTAATGCATGAAATCCTAATCTTCAAGGGAAGGTAGCATTGCTGAGGTTCTTAATTCAAACAAGAAACTTTCGATCGCAACCAGACTTACACGACTTGATGGAGCCTTCTGTGATACAACTAATCGATTTCAGTGATAGTTGCGCTAGCTTAATACCTGATATTCGAGATGGTTCACTCGTGGCACCTTTTTATAGCATTGACAAAGCAAAACTTACCGATTGGTCCATGGGGATACCGTAGGTCACTAAAACATGTTGCGAATATTGGAATAAACGGTGAAAGGAACGCACTGGAATGGGAGTGTTTTTTAAAGTGGACTGGGTAAATTTAAGCTGCACGTTTCTTGGAACCATTGGTGATACTTTACAGCACTATGCTATGATTATAATTGTAGTGAGCGTCATAGGACTTCCCTACAAATTCCTTAGGGATGCTTGCCTCTGTGGATTCATACGTATGGTGTTCGATGCGTGTTTCGGTATTAAGGTGTTCCCTTTCAACCTTCATGTTTTTTCTGAGCTTGTTAAGTGAATGGTGCTGTTTCAAATTTACTACAGTTTCCACTTATCACTATTATTCAGGCACTTGTAAGTATAGTTAAAGCAAATCAAACGTTAACTGCAAATAGACTTGCTGTTGTTATCTCTACTGATGGTGTTAATAACTTTTGGGTTGAATTGATGCAGTGTTTTGTGCTTGCGACAACAGTTAACACATGCTTATCAGTGTGTTCACTTTAGTATTACTTTTGCTTTTCATTTAGCAATCCGATGAACAGCTTTCGGATAATGGCGACCCTCAGCTACAAAGGCAGGTAGAAGTTATACACAATCTTGTGGATTCATACCTCAAGATTGTTCACAAGACTCAGCGTGATCTGGTTCCAAAGATGATCATGCATATAATTGTTAACGAGGTAAGTGTTCTCCTTCATTCCTGAAGTACCCACTGCCAAATGGTATTCGGTAGTTATTTTTATACCAGAAAAATTATTTGTAGTGCTTTTTTGCTCTTGGCATTCTCTCGCCACGACTTATATTTGTAACACTAGCCTTGTTTCTAGCCGCTGCTACATTTTTTGCTTAGCCTTAGCATGATGTCAGACTTGGATGTAAGTGTACAGAAAACATTTCTGCGTATAGAGTATGTATGCCCTAGGCAGGATGGCTAGAGAATGTCAGTAAAATATGCATAGGTCGAAAATGGTTAAAATTCGCTACATAGCAGAGCTGCATCGATATGCGCATGGCCTCTGATTTCCCTGTAGAGCGTCTAAAACGTTCATTTGATTTGCAGATGAAGGAGTTTCTGAAAAGTGAACTGTTACCAAATCTTTATCAGGCAGGAGATATTGTAAGTTGATACCAGTGAGTTATAATATATTAATAAATGCTCAAGGTCTGTTGATGGTGGTCTTTACTCCGTCCAAAATAGCATTTGGTGTACAATTTGCAAGAGCATATTTGTGTCCTAAATATCCAAAGATTTATTTTACCAGGAGGAAGTGGGACCCATCATAGTCTCGCTATCGCAAGCAATGGTTTTGGTTTGAACCAAGATTTTACATAATTGATTGTTTTCAAATTTGAGAGCCAGATTTTTAAAGTTGATTAGCTGGTAAATTAAGGCTACTTGATAGTGTTCTCCCAATTAACGTAATGTTTTAGGAAACATACCCGTGTTCTAAAAAGGAGATGTCTACGCTTTACGATGGTGACCACAGAGTTAAATGAGGTTCTGATGGATTTTCGTACTCTCAAATGATCCCACCAGCCTTGCATAATGGAGGGAATGCTGATTTCACTGATATCAATAAAGTCGGCGTTTTCTGTCCGCAGCAAGTCCTGATGTCGGAGTCCTTGGAAATGCAGACGCGACGTGAGGAGACTCTTCGGATGTACGAAGCATTGAAGGAGGCCCTACGAATAGTTGGCGAGGTGGCTACAAACACCGTATCCACGCCCGTTCCGCCCCCTGTTATGGATGACTGGACGCACAGTACTACGTCCCATGTAAGTTATCGCCCCTCTGCATCTTGTAAAACAATTTCACTTATGTTGTCGCCTGAACTCTCTGATCAAATAAGTACGCTCCCAATTCTCATTTACAGCTGGCAGACTCAGGCTCCTCGTCCTCGAGTCTCTTCCCTACAAGCATGGGCAGCGGCGGTGGCGGAGCTGGTGGCGGTGTAGGGGTGATGCAGCCACCGCGAAGTCCCGGAGGCACAAGGCGTCCCCCGCCCCAACCCCCAGGCGCTCCTCACCGTCCCACACCCTCGCCCCAACGTCCTAGTTTTACCGCTCCCTCTACCGGCACTCTACCCTCTCCTCTCATCCCTCAGTGAGTCCTCTGCAGCCACTGGTTTTAATGCTCTCTATGCATTTGCATGTCCTCCCCCTGATATCTAGCCCCTTTTCTCCGTGTTGTATTTTTTCGTGGCAGGCAAATGTATTTGCAATTGTTAATTAAACTGAACGTACATATTGGCGCTGTTGTTGTTATCTTTGTTAACACATTCCTCCATCGATGTGAAGACGTGATTTTGGTGATTCTAATCACTCCAAGTAATTTGTTGAGCGGTTTCTAGTAGCACGTGTTGTTTTGCAATGCACACACGGCAATCTGAAACGCCGGTCTATCTAATATAACGCTACTTCCCCTCTCACCTCGGTAAATCTACTTACCAGGTAAACGTCTCCCTACCTCAAACTCTTCTAACTGCCATAATCATTTTCTCTAGTGTCTGAAAACTTTGAATTTGATTTCTTCACTTCCCACTCCACGCTTGCCCCTGTTATATTGGGTGTGCTATAATTGGTGTTGTTTGGACAAGTGTTGTGTAACTTTTGTTGTAGGTTAAATGCTCTGCGTCCCTCTGTGGTGGTGCCTTACGGTCTACCGAATGATGGGATCAGCAGTGGTGCTGTTGTGAATAGCAGTTGCCTTCAAAACGGTTTCTACAACCCCCCTCTCCCGTCTCCAAACCCGCTCCTCCAACATCCGCTCCCTTCAATCCAACGGTGTTTCCCGATGTAGGATGTAGTCTTGCTTGTTATTTCTTTTTACCCTTTGCCATGACCCGTTGAAACAAGCGCATGACCAATAGCTCTCCTGTGTAGCGCTTACGAGAATTCTTGTGATAGAATGATGTATAACTCATATCAAATTCTTGTAATGTTAAATAAGGTCTCCTCTCCGTAAATTAGGGTTAAAGCGTGTGTGTAACTGTATCATAATTAGCGCAAAATGTTTTTTTTAGACGTGCAAACAATCCGGCCCCTCGTATTCCTGATCGGCCCAACGCGGGATCGCGCACCTGAGAGGCGGACAAAGTGGAACTAAGAGGTCGCTCCCTCACTGACAAAATAGTGAAGGTGGCGTTCTTCTTCCTTTTATGCAACTATTATCAACCACATCGTGATAACTGCCATCAAGGCTCTCTATAGAGTTGTGACCTCAAACCTTTCTAAACATCACATGTGCCCCATCTACAATTCTTGGTGCTCCCCTTCATTCTGAATATGGGTCATCCATGCTGCTATGTGGCGTCGCTCTTGCACTATACTCGCCTCTTGCTCGTTTCCCATCCCCTCCTTCCTCTCTTCTACAACTCAGATTAGTACCACAAAGTTCGGTTCTCGTTGAGACTGTGTCGTTATTCACGCTTTTATCTAAATGTTGTTTATTACTTAAGTATACATATATTTGTGGTTATGTTACAGACTTAGCGACGAATCGTGACTTAATTTGTGCTGACGTATTAAGCTCAAAATGAGTAAAAGCACCAGTTGCCACTTATCTGGCTTGTTTTTGGCATAATTTTATAGTCCTATGTATCATTGACACATTCTTTGGACTTTCTACCAATGTGAACTTTAGTCTGCGAATGAGATATATTGTGGTCCTTTTGCGCCGAGACAAAGTTACGTATGGGAGGAAACCTCACAAATAGTGGCCGGTGTAAAGCGATGTCCATTTTAACTGGTCAGTCCTTGTGATTCCTGCTTTCCTGCTGGTGTCGGCTCTCTGATCGAGAGTGTAGACAACCAACCCTTCTACACCTTAATTGAAAAAACGTTTACGATGGTAAACTGTGCGATTTAGGGACAGGTGCGTACAGCAATCAAATTGCTTATCACGACTTGCGTACTCTACACCGCCATAATTGGGCTCCCCCAGGATTGGTGGGTTGCGATTTAGCTAGGGGACGTGATCATTCTCCCGTGCCGATAGCTACCCAACCATTCTGCCTAGAATGATAATTCCTTCTCCATACTAGTGTGACATGTTGTTGCAGTGATCCGGCACTTGTGCAGATTGCAATTCCTCTCAGTGGTATGACCTTAAGGCTATGATGATAGACTTCTGATTGTTGGTGATACATGCTTTACAATACTACTTTGCCTTATCACGACTTCGGAGATGATACAGGGTTCCCTATTGTTGCTGATATGACTATATTTCATATATTCGCCGGCTTTTGTCCGTTTAAAATACTCTCATGTTACAAAATGAGGGTACCAGTCGATATTGTCTTAGCAACCACGGATGCTTCAACTCTCAGGGCTCCAAATTGCGTACTGCGACTGAAATAGGAGACGGGACAAATTTTTATCCTCGCGCGTAACATTTGTGCCCGTCAGTACCTAAAGTAAAAGACATTATGATGAATGCAGCCAGCCCAAAAACTATGAAGAAAAGGACACATTGCAGCTCTGTAAGCCTGTTCTACCTGCCAGTTTATATTGCAAGTTCCATTATTCATGAGACGAAATGCATTTTGAGTGATAAAGGTCACCTCACCAAAAAATTACTTGGTCTAAAGTACAGCTCCGTAGGCAGTTAAGCACGGTTCATCACAATAGGATGGGCCCGTATAGGGATACTCCATTAGTTGAAGACGACGATGAATCGAAGTGCTAAGTGAGAAAAGAGGCGCCCTGAAAATTGTGCATGCAGAAACAGTCCCCAAGAGAAGCACCAGGGACTTTGCTGATAACAACGAGGGGGCTGTGAAATAAGAGCAATCAGTTCACATCAACCGCGTGATTTAATGGACTTCACCAATTTCCAAGGTGAAGACGCACATCGTCTTTTTATAAAAGAAAATTTAGTCTCCAAGTCTTTACCGAAGTCGTAATAAGCCTACATAGAATGAAAATGCATGTACCGCTGACGTTTGGAAGAGTCAGGAGTCTATTGCCATGTCTTGGAGGCCATATCACGGAGAGAAAGTACAACTTACAGAGAGTCTAGCAAAACACCAACTGACTACAAAACACAGCATAAATAACAAATGTGAACGCACAAAATCACGCCAAATGGTTCGTTTCCAGGTCCAGATCTTAAACTGCCAAAAAAATTGATAGTAGCTACTGAAAATGACCGTAATACTCGGTTCATTTAACTCTGTGGTTGGGTTCAGCGGCCACTTAAGGCTCTACCAGTGTGCTTCCCCGCTATCCCCGGTGGCATGGCCTCTGGGTCATGCCAGTAGCCTCTCAGCCCTTCTGTTCATCAGCACTCCATTTTCTGCCCTGGTACTGACGTCATTCGACTTCAAGGGGAGTCTCATCGCGCCACATAACAATGACTAAGGAAGTAGCGAATTAATACTCAGTAAGAAAATATGATGAAGTGTTTGAGAAAATGTAACCATAAGAATGGGGGAGGGACGAATTACAGCTAACATGAATATGTATGTGTAGTGATTTGATATTTTGCTTAACTATGCAGACTCCTGTGTGCGCAGTATGTACTGTAGCGACACGAGTTTTTCCTGAAGTCAAGAGAAAACATAGTATTAGGGCAGTGAGTGTATGGCTGACGTACAGTAGAGCTGAGGGGCTTCTTGCACCGCCCAAAAGCCGTGACGCCCAGTGGAAGCACAAAGGCGGACCTTAAGTGCCGGCGAAACCAAAACGAAGAGTTAAACAAGGAAACAAGGTTTTACGTTAGTCACCTCATCTTTGAATGTCGTTCCCGACAATTCCTCTGGTTAACCTCCCGCGTCGGCCATCACAACGCAGTTGGTGCTGTTTGGAAACACTCACGAACCAACCGCACCAATCATCGAATTTGCGTGTAGCTAAGCTGATATCTGGCTGCAACAGCACCGATCCTTCTAGGAAATTCCACAGGATCTGAAATTTTGTCCTGTACGGAATCCATATTAAGGGAAGGGGCTGTATGCTGATCATATTGTATGCCCACCGCTGGTCATAAGGGCACTAACCTGAAAGCAGTCTTTTAATAAAGGACTGTGTCTAAAACAGTTTCGTGAGGAAAAGGTATTGTGTCTATTCCAACTAGTAGTAGGGTAGAGGTGGTGTTCACTTAATGTGCATCTTCATATCAGTATGGTAGACAGCCTGTAAAAAATTTTCCAAATGGTTCACGGCTAGTGTCGTTCGAGTTGTTAGTGGCATTCCTACAGAATACAGGGCTGGAATAGTCGCCTACAGCAGACGTCATCATCGACACTTTACCGATTCCCCAGCTGTGGCATATGCTCCTGTTTGTTTAGCATCTCTTAATAGAAACCAGGGTAACTGTCCTTAGGAATCGGGTTTGCCTTCCCCCGCCACAAATTTTGCGCTTCGCGTGCTACCTACAATCATAGAAGAGATAAAACCAGGTAGGTGTATGTAATGTTGGCGTAAAGAAGCCCTGCGTGAATAGCAAAGGCCGGAACATAAGTGTAATACAATGGTGGTTCATCCCTCGTTTCTAATGAGGCGCCACTTTTGGACTTTGAATTAGCCCCCTTGTGCCTCACTAGGTGGGCTGGCCTTTTGGGCCATGCCAATAGCTCAGACACCTCTGCGCTGAATGTATATTCCGCCCGAGTATTTTGTCTTCTTTCGTCTTCAGGGAGTCCCGGGACGCTACATTAAGTGTCCCCAAAACCCAAACAAAGGGTGCAATAAAGAAGGCATTGCAGTACACATACCCTATGACATACCATTTTGGTTGTAGTAGTTACCAACTTGCCCTTTTGTTGCGTTAGTATCATACGATCTGCAAAGTAGCTGGCCTGATTATGACTTCACTCAAAGCGCAGCGTGGGGAAATATTAATGAACACGAGATGCCGTTCATTGCAGTTATTATTTTGAACTTTTTGCTAGGGACTTATTAAAATGTCCATTTTTGATAGTGACTTTTGTGCAAGTAAGCATTCACTTATAACGTGTTTGTAGAATATGACGTAAAAGTTGTTGAATAGCAACATTTTAATTAAAATTAGTAGACTAAATTATTTTAGCTATCATTTTAAATAAAACGTTTTTGCCGTTACGAATTGAAAAAGTTGTGTCTCCAAGATCTTAATCTAATTGTTTTAATGGGCGTAGGTGCTTTGTTTAAGTCTTGCGTGAGGCACTTTGTCTCCATATGAAGGTGGGTGCTTTTTCTAATCTTGGCTTTGTCTTTTGCTTATTTACTCATAGTGATGCATTTTGATGCGCTCAAGACTATGCTCTATATTTTCATGATGCTGCAACTGTTTAAAATGTATATGTAGGTCAATATTGCCTATCCAGCTAATGGCACACAAAAGTGCCTGGAGATTGACGATGACCATAAGCTCCGGCCGTTCTATGATAAGAGAATGGCTACCGAGATGCCGGTAGACTTTTTGGGAGATGAGTGGAAGGGATACATCGTGAAAATTACAGGCGGAAATGATAAACAAGGCTTTCCAATGAAGCAAGGGGTCCTTACTAACGGACGGGTGCGATTGCTGTTGTCAAAAGGCAAATGCTATAATCCCCGACGTAAGGGTACCAGGAAGAGGAAGAGCGTTCGGGGTTGCATTGTTGATAGCAATCTGAGTGCTCTAAACCTTATAGTCATTAGGAAGGGTGAAGGCGATATCCCCGGCCTCACCGACGTAAGCGTGCCAAGGCGTCTCGGCCCTAAGCGTGCCTCCAAAATTCGAAGACTTTTCAACCTCGATAAAGCAGACGATGTCCGGCAATTTGTCGTCCGCAAGCCTCTTCCGGCGAAAGAAGGTAAACGGATTTTTTACTTAGGTTTTGTGGTTAGTCATGACATCTTATAACGCTCTCTTGTTAAGGCAAGAAGCCGCGTAGTAAGGCCCCAAAGATTCAGCGTCTCACAACTCCCATCCGCCTCCAGAGAAAACGAAGACATAGAGCTCTAAAAAAGAGGCGTATTGCCATCCGTAAGGAGCTGGAAACAGAGTACGCGAAAATGATCGCCGTTCGCCGTAAGCAGGCTCGGGATGAAAAGAGACGTTCACGAAGTCGATCACTTCGTGAATCCAAGGCTACTTCTGAAGAATAGTTTTAATAAATTGCACATTTGGTGTGTCGTTTTTTAGTTGCATGCTTGTGGGGGTTTTAATTCGTTCGTGCTTGCTTGGGTCGCTATAGTTGTGCGTATAATGTTAATTACCCATGAATGCACTTAATATTTTAGACTTGCTACCAGTACTTCGAAGGTTTAGATTAGGCTTTTTAGCTCTTGGGAGGGCGGTTCGCTGTTTCTGGGCTTTGTAGGTTCAGTGCATAGTTTGAGGCTACTGGCGGATCATCAGCAGTTCCTCCGTGCACTTGTGAAATCCACGAGGCATGTGACTTGGCGAGTGTCGGGATTCCGGATAGTCGCCCTTGTGTGTGGCTGTGGGTTTGGGTTAACTCAATCTATTAATCTCGGGTTAATTCGTTTTGGCAGGTGTTGCAAGAATTGGCATATCGGATGGCTGTCGGCAAGTCACTCGCACGTTTTTCGACTGGTGTGTTGGAATCAGTGGCTGATCCTCCGCATGTTCCTGTTCTCGTTAATGAAGTTATTGAGTACCTCAGACCGCGTCGCGGACAGGTAGTTGTGTTTTTTAGTGTTTTTGCACCTCAGGTGCCATCGCATGTGCACTAGCTATTGTTTTTTCCGATTGTTGTAAGTGGGTCTTGGCGTAAGTAAAACAGTTGGAGACTGTCTTGACTCTATTCACTTCGTGAAATACAAGGTGGGCAGGTAAGTTCGTGCAATTTTGTAAATGTGGCAAACTTGCTAAAATATTAATCTATGGGGCTTGTAACCCAATTGGTTTGTGTAAATCCCGACTTCGTGATTCCTTCTGTCTCTTAAAACAAAAAGCCCAGTCGTAGTCGCCTCTGCTCTTAGCCAGCCTCCTTTCCTAAATGTGCGTTATGCTCCGCGTGGTTGTCTAATCCGAAGGTGATGGTCACTATGATTGATCAGGTGGTAGCTCCCTTTCGTCTAAAGATGCAAAATGAGATCTTCTTATGGCCTCATTTGAAAAACGGGGTATGGGATCCTGCGTTGCCTTGTAAGGGTAAGGAGAGGAATTTCTCATCATAGACTGGCTGTCTGTTCCTCAAATGGTTTTCTTACTCTCGAGTTGGGTGGGGTAGTATAGAGTAGACGGACCTTGGCTGTAGTCATTGGGTCTTCACTCAGTAAGCAATTCCCTCTGAAGTCCACTCCGCATAGGTATACACAAAGCGGGCATTGTTCCAAGGTGGCGTTTTATACCTGGGAGTGTAGAATTTTGCGACGAGTGGTTAGGTTGGGGTTAACCAGTGGTATGTTTTTACTTGGCACTGGATCACAGAAGCTTTCTTTACTATGGTTCTTTCAGCACGACCAGGAAATCGCACCTTTTATGGGTTGGGGCAATGAAAACAAATTGATGGTCATGGTAGGTTTTTTTTGTCGTTTGTGACTGCATGCCGTCCGACTACTCATCTGCTTAGTAGCTACCATCACGATATTCACTTCTCAGCTGATTTAGTTGTGAACGAATTGTTTCATTACCGAAGTTAAGCAATACTAAAGGTTATTGCTGGTGAGTTAATCTCGAATTAGTTTAATAGTATGACAGCACAAATAGGGCAGGGTGTTTTTGAAGTCAGTGAATCACCATCGTTGAGTAATTTGGTACCGACTTCTTCCAGATTACAATGGTTTAAACTCTATCTTCCGGATGGCGCTCTCTGCTATTGTGTCTTCTCCAAATGTTTCACGTGTTTGTCGGAAAGCTTCTGCTTCAGCGCGGAATCAGTTCTTTTAGGTCCAACTGCCGTTACTCTGTGGGCTTGAAGTCAAAGTGGGAGGATGGTAGAGCCGTACCGTACTGACAGACAAGCGCATAGCAATGCTCCTTAAAGCACGTAGGGGATCGCATGTATTCCACAAGTTTTTTCAAGCTTTAACAAATCGTAGCAATAGGCAATTCAAGTGCGAAGTAGTGACGTTACCAGTTTAGTGCACGTTAGTACTCGTGCTTTCACAGTCTTGGTTCAGCTGTTACTAAAGATAAATTAAGTAGGCCGCATATAATTGAAAATAGAATTGTGGTTTCGAATCCTGATTATAGGTTTCTCGGCACTTCTGAGGTCAGCTTGAAATCCGCTCTCGGCATCCGATTCACCAAACTGCTATCAAATGGGCAAAGATTTGGTTTTGTGTTGGGAACTATTGTTCATTAATGAGTGTCCCGGTAAAGCGATAGATTAAAATATCTAAAATTGTCAAGTTACGTTTATCATATTGAGTTGGTATGCTCGGAGATCCCGTATCTTCTCACCCGTACACTCAACTTTGATTCCCATGGCTAATGTCTAGTCTAGTGGTGACGTAGTGAAGAACTGCATGCAAGACTTTGGGACTTCAAAACCCGTATTTTTCATTTTCACACCAAGGATTTCGTGATTTCAAATGCCTACGGGTCGAATAGTTGTATTTAAAGTCTTATAGAATTTTGCGAATTCTTATTGACTATCACGCTCTTTGCTAAGAGTCTACGTCCCTACGATGCCTTCTAGCTGACTATCGTAAAATCTTGCTCAGTGCGGCTCCATAATTATTAGTTGGGGAGAAGTATGGTGCAGTTGAACTACTAAACGGCATCGGATCCGGACATTTCAACAGCGCATATCGGTGTATATTTTGGCGACGAAAGTTATCGATCATATCAACTGAACTATGAATGCCGAGTGATTAGTCGTGCAAATGGCTGAGGGTATGATTAAGTGAAATGGGATGCCACCGGTTGGTGTGTATAAACTGCCACGGTTTATGGTTTCTTTAACTACTGATAAATGAGGGGTCGGCACTGGCTAGGGTACTGCTTTTCCACCTTATATTATTAAAAAGTGTTCTGCCTGATCTCTATGACAGGTTGGTGATTGCGCGAAATCTTAAGTGCTGTGACGAACAGTTTTTCACTAGCATAGTCTCGCCTTCTGTTTCTTGTCTGCAGAGATTTGTCGACTTGACCTTCGGTGCAGGAGGTCATACACGTGCCCTCTTATCCGCATGCCCCGAAATCACCGTTTACTGTCTTGATCGCGATCCTCAGGCCGTGCGTTATGCTCAAGAACTCTCCGCCTCAACCAGCAGGTATGGGTCACCCCCCACTCCTACCATCTAAATAATTTCCATCAAAAATTTGCTGTGGTGTATAAAAATAATGTTAGAAGCAGATATAATCAATTTCTATTCGGAATTGGAATTGCTGATGCTAGGAAAATAGTCTTTTTCCTGTTTTCCAGATATGACTAAACCGTTTGCTGTCAAGTTGATGGCAATCCAGCAATGGGAAATAGCGAATTGCTTTCATGATAAATTAAGAAAGTTGGTTACAATCTGGTGTCTATGAATGTTTGTATTTTAGAGGCATGGATCTGGAGCCTAGTTTTGCTAAATATCAACGTTTATATTATCAGTTGAAAATGTAGGTTTCTCCCCAAAATAGCTCTTCACAACTTGCTGTCAACTCATTGTCTCTATAATGATTCACTGCTAACCTGGCATGCTTCTTCACTTTTTCACTGTCTTCTGTGTTACTCAATTGGATTGAGCCTCTCATTGTTGATATTTCGGCACCTAGTACTGATGCTTTTTATAGATGTGTAATCAGTTACAAACCAACCGAACGCCTACTTGGAACACGATACCCATCCGTTGTCCACGCATGTTCCCATTGTCAGGATAAACATACACTAAAACATGTACATGCACTTGATTTATCAAAATAGTGTATGAGCCTCTTAAAGGTCGATTGCTGAGATCCAGTTATGATCAAGTGAAAGGAAAGTCACTGAAAGGTCAATATACGATGGATGCATCTGATGGATGGGGGGGGGGAAAAAAATCTATGATTTTTTTCTCTTTCGTATTAAATACTTTTATTAACATACCTCTATCATCGGAGAAGGATTTCATAGGCACGGCAAAAGATGGTACAGTTATTAAAAACATGGGCACAGTGTGGCCTAAAGGATGACTGTCATTGGGTCTTGGTGCATTAGAGTAAATACTTGCAACAGCACAGCCTATGAAGTATAATGTCACTTTAGACGGGTGGTGGCAGTACAGGGTCGTTTCAGTCAAGCCCTCGGCCTTCTGAGCAAGATGGGATGCCCGCTCGGCAGCGTAGATGGTGTCCTGATGGACATCGGCGCAAGTTCAATGCAAATGGACTCCCCGACACGTGGCTTCGGGGTCGGCAGAGCCGCACCCCTCGACATGCGCATGACCACCTCAAACCCATTTAGGTGAGCTTGTGCCTCTACCTCGATTTTCATCCATCGGGGTCTTGCCACTCACCTGTCACCCCAACATCTGCGTCTGCCTTTGGTGCATGTATGTGGAAAATTAGCCAATTGGTGCAGCGTCACGTACTCGTAGATCTAAGGATGTAATTTTTATTACCTGAATGGTCTCTTGACATATCTCATCTCAAAGTAGTGAAATGTTTTACAAGTACTATTTTGTCCTTCCAGTCATAGCTAGAAATACCTACAGTTTTTTTTTAAAAACTGATATGAAGACTTCGATGAAAGCGTTTTGTCTTTTTGAAGCAGTTTATGTTGACATATCCTATTGGGATTTCGCATAATAAAAAATGCCTTCAACGTTTGTTCATTTTTAAGCATCCGATATCCAAAAAATAAATTAACAAATACGTATTCATACCTTGCAATCATTTTCAGGGCTATAAACCAGGCACACGCTTTTGTGTAGTCTGCAATTCAAGTAGGTACATAACCCAAAAATGCGGTTAATCTTACGCCGATTCCGGTGCGTCTACGATTTGCACAAAATAGTGACGACTGTACTGGAATATTCCCATTACTTTAACTAACATCGCATATCACACTGTTGGCACGTCACAGGAGCCACCACCCACACCGTATCGACTTAAATTATCGGTTCGGTGCGCCTGTTGACTGTGGCTGCCGTAGCGCCTTGCACTAGTTGGTTGATTGTTTTGAAGCAGAAGGGAGGAGGCCAAGGTGTCGGCGGAGGATCCGTCAGCGGCGGACGTGTTGAATAAGCTTAGTGCCTCACACCTGGCGCGTATCTTCAAAGTCTACGGCGATGAAAGGTTCGCCCGACGCATCGCCAACGCCGTGGTGGAGTACCGCGGTACTCTGGGACCCCTCCGTACCACCACACAACTCGCCAATCTCGTCGTCTCTGTCGTTAGTCCTCTTGAGTGCAGGTCCTTCTCTCTCTCTCTCTCTCTCTCCCCTGTCTAAGTATTCTTCAATTAACTGGGCAGGGAGGCATCGTTATTTGCATTACTTTAGGCGAAAATAGTACTATTGGAGCTTTCTGAGCACACAGAAAGACGTAAATTGTACCCAAATGAAGTGGCTTGTGGCCGAAGAGATGCCAGTTTAATGAGCGTTGGGTCTGGTGAAAGATAGGAATAGCTTGAGAGAACGACTTTCAGTACTAGCTAGCCGTGAATGGGATGTGGTGCGCAGGTTTTAGGCACCGTAGAATGACTGCAAGGATGTTAGCAACATGTCACTTGCAGACAGAGGACGAGAGGAGCGGGTGGCGGGCACCCGAGCAGCCACTTGGCCACACAGGTATTTCAGGCGCTGCGTATTTTCGTCAACGATGAGCTCAACGAGCTGTGCACGGGTCTGGAGGCAGCCCATCGGTTACTGCGTCCGGCTGGGCGGGTGGCGGTCATCTCCTTTCACTCCCTCGAGGATCGATTGGTCAAGCGAGCCTTCGCTATGAAAGGCTGTCATGCTCATGGGCTTGCTCAGCGTCTGGCCGACTCCTCCTCAGTAGAAAGTCACCACAGATATTCTTGGAATGAACAAACCCCCAATCTCTGGCTACAGGTTTGCATATTTCTTTGTGCTATAAGCAGTCACATTATGGTTGGCTACTTGTTCACTCATTTGTACGACAAAGGTCGAAGCATATTTCGAAACAATGAAAATGTATTATTCTGTTAAATGAATACGCCAGTACGACAGTACCACCAACTGATTTTGTACGTCCGTATTTGGATCGAAGTTGGCTCTCCCATATTTGTGCACCCTTGCAGAGGAGGGACGCTATGTTGTCACGAACGAGAACTCACTTTGCCCCAAGATATTTGCAATGTAGAATTGGCTGCTGTCAGAAGCTATTTCCTTCAAATGCACTGACACTAGTATTTTATGAGGGTGGCAGTTGTATACGTCCGATTGTTGTCCCGTACCACTAGTCAAAACGCCATTGCCAACCCTAGAACAGTTTAATGCTGGTGTATTTTGCAGTGAATTTGCGGTGGATGTGCCTTACGTATGATTTCATGTTGATCATCCTCCTTATTAAACATGTTTTTGTGTAAAACGCGCAGTTTTGGCCACGTAGGATATGTGTCTCTTTGCCTGTAATGGTTTCATGTTTTGTAAGACTAAGACGTCACTTCGACGTCACCTATGTCGCAGGCGAAGTTTGATTTAATAATGCATGCACACTTCTTGGTGTAATAGATTGCTGGACCTATACAGCCCACAAGTGCGGAGCTTCTTGAGAACAGACGAAGTCGGTCTGCAAAACTTCGTGTTGGCGAAAAGACGTTGGGACAATAGAACTTATCCATTTTCCGAAAAATTCAGAACCTATTCAAGGGCTGACCTGCATTATTCTATTGTCAATTATTTGATCTCTTTAAATGTCCCTGTATCATTGACTGAAGGTATCTCCAACATGCAAGGTGCAAGCAGTCAGATAGGTTATTGTCTTATAATTACCTGGAGATTTTTTGGAAAAGCTTTTAAATGATACTTTTCTACGTAATCATTAATGTTGAAACAATAAATTGCATTTCAGTCATCCACAGCGCATCAAATCCACTAAGCTGAGATGGAAAGCGTCTTCAGATTCCTAATTGGAGCGTAAGAAGTCGGAAGGGGTATATTTAAATTGCACATCCGAGACTTGTTACAAGTGACGCGAAGAATGTGACCGTGGAATTAGTGACTTTCTGTGAAGAGGCTAGATGCGGTGTATCATTCTGATGCAGTAAATGCGTGTAATGAGTTTGAAGCAGGCGAGGATACACTCTGTCCTCACTCATTGGAAACGTAGTAAGAGCCCCCTCTTTTCTGATTTCAAGCTTGATCCATTTATCATTTAGGTGAGTTTGTGTCAATGACGATGTAGTGGTGAACGGGGAAGTAATTTTGTTATTTTTCCTACAGAACTACTTTACTAATCCCTATAGTTAATTTTTGGGAGAGTGACATCAATGACAATTAAGTTACGGATTCAGGGAATGTTAGTAGCCTAAGTAGTTCGGTTGGTCAGTGGTCGCAGTCTCCCCTAGTAGAAGGGGTCACACAGTGTTTTCATTGAAAGTAACCAATATTACCTAAAAATCTGATCAACCAGGGAATAACCGGATGAGAAGATGCGCACGTTGCCTGTACACAAAAAAGTCAGTTCGCGACTCCGACTGCTAACTCTGTGACATTTGTTTACTGTGTGATATGCTACATTTTTGTTTTTCCATCGTGCTGGTGTCAGGGATTGGAAATCGGTAAAATATAAATTTAGATGTCTTTTATTTTAAAAGATCTGTTGATGTGAACAAAAGGTAGAGGAATTCAAACAGTAATAATGGGCAGGAGTGGGTCATGTGCATGAATAAGTGTAGATTCAGGCACGGTGCCAGATATATGACTTCTACCTGTTGAAACGCCGCTTGATCCACTTCGACGCTTTATCGTAGGCACTCACTACGGCTTTTTCGGCGGCCTCGTAGATAGCGAACTGGGTGATTGCCTTGCCGACTTTCTTAGCAACTTGTTTGGCAGCAGCTCTCCATACTGCTGGTGTGAGACTTTCTGGCTGGAATTTTGCTCGCTCTACCGTCTCCACTACTGACGCTGCCTCTGTTGAGGGTACAGCCACGAAAAGCAGGAGAAGAAGGAATGCCAACACCGTTGTTACTGATAAGCTTAGTGCCATGGGGCCTCTCTCGGTCTCTACGTGTCCACCTTGTGATTCCAATCCACTTCGGCACGCGCTTAAATTCATTCCCTATCGCTGCGGGGGTGTGCGTGTGTATTTACAAAATGAATTCGGAAGTATCCTCAATCGCTGGGGTGTGCTGACTGGCAGTGTGGTTATTTAATCGGATCTGCAAGGGGTCACGGTGCCTGTCCGCGTGGGAGGCATGAGACTACGACACACAGTTAGTTACACTAAGGCCAAACAGCACAATTCTTGTCAGTCATTCTGCCAATCAGCTTACAATCTTTAACAGTGCTTTTTTAAACTATTCTAAAGCACTTACCATGCTCCCTCAGTGATTTACGGGGAAATGTTCACTAGGAGCGTTAGATACTCAAACTCCAACCGGTTGAGGTTCGAAACTTGATGTATCTGACCGTCAGTGTGTACGTTACTGATTAGTTAACATCATGACAAGGACGTATACGAGGTTATTTGTCCTTTCGGAAACATTTCAAACAAATTCAAATGTTTTTTCTACGCCAGTAAGCAAAACAGGTGGGATGGTAACTCCGAGCTGAACGGTAACCCGTGCAGATGCATGTTACACTTTATTGTTCCTAAATGGCGACTTACCCTACCCCGATTGATGAAGTGGGCTTGACGAGGACGCCGCGATGATGTCATACCATCTTCGACCGTGTTCTACACAAATGCATGCAACAATTGAGGGCCTTTTTGTCCGAAGTTGATTGTGATAGTTGAGGCGCAAGTTAGGCAGAGTGGATGGGAACCGTATCTTAGCTGTCCCTCACCAGAGATTGCCAAATCGTTAAATTAACATCTCAGGTGGTTTGGAAAGGAGCGATAATTCGTGGTTTGGGTCCAAGTGATTAAAGTGGTATGTTGGAGTAGGTTAGCTAATTGATTTTTCGAAGAGTAACCGAAATGGATCAAAGGAATACGTCCAAAAGCATGCTCTGTCATTAAGTTACCACATCGATGAACTGAAACCAGTTGCAAACTGGCGAAATATATGTTGCAAATGTGGGTAACAAAATGATAGCCACAGAGTTGTGAATAGTGTTTAAAATTCCGAACAAAGGTATCTACTTCGTCCTTAATCATGCATACTGACAATGTTTGCCAAAAAAACAAATTCCGCAGAGGCTAATGTAGTACGATGGTTGTTTAGCTCTCGGTTTTGATTAGGAGCCAATTTTGTCTTGGCCTTTGTACCACGCCGGACAGGCTGGCTTTCGGGCCATACCAGTAGCCCAAATGCCTTCTCTGTGCCAAATATGTATATTCTGACCGAGTATTATGTCTTCTTTCGCCTTCGGAGAAGTCTCCATACGCTACACTCGGTCAACGCTTATCAAATCACCTCCGAAAATATTTGCCATAGGTTGATGTCATTATCGCCGTCATCAAATTGTGATAGTATTCTGCTCATATATCAACGGAATCGTCAACGCAAGTATTCATGTTCAAAGTAACTCAACAAATCTCTACCGTATCACTCTGCAGGAGTCTCCTGTCATGGACCCAAAACAGCTTACTCCGGAACTAACCCATCTCCTCAACTTTCCAACATTGATAAAACGAGGATGGACACTTGAGGAATGATCTATTGACAACTGCGCCATTAAAGAGGATGGTGTGCCTTTGCTGAAAGAGTTTCGGGGTAAAGCAAAGGTTTGTGCTCCTCATGTTGTGCCTTTAGTGGTTTCAATCAGCTGTTGCTGCAGTCGTGTTAGGCGAAATTACGGCGTCTAGTTATAGCTTAACTGCTCTCTCTAACACAGGGTGAGGAGGTGAGAGCTGGAAATACCAGATCCTTTTTTAGAAGTTAGTCACTCTAACCATGGCTTGCGTCCGACACCTCGACGCCTTTTCCCGTTCACAGCTTTCGTCTACTTTGTACTCCTGTTTGTAGGCACCACCGTTAGCAAGTCTCTCCAAAACGTGTCTAACACCTGCCTATTCGTGCCTATTTTCTACAGACTTCCAATTTTGCCTTCTTTTGGAGTTTCCTTTGGATTTTTTGCTACAATGTGGATAGCTCTACAGCATTTGCTCCCGTCCTAATTTTTTGTGGTATTCCTTGTTATCTGCTCCGCTACATCCGACATTTCTTGCAGCTCAAATAGTCGTTGTCGCATGTGTCTCTCCGTGCACCCTTGCGAGAATGTAAGTTATCAAGTTTCCAGTAAAATCTTAATTCGAAAGTATGACGCGCACCAGGCACGCTTGGGTTCGGACGGACCTCACCCTACGATGAGCTTCAAGCTGCAATTCATGCTCTCACACCTAGTTCGAACGGCGCGGCACCTGCCGACCCCCCCAGGTCTGATCGCTCACGACCACCCCACCAGTGCCTTGTTGGTCGCGCATTACTGCTACGTCCTACCCGGCATCGATGTCATGGGAACTCGTGCGGAGACTCCCAAGGTGCTGAAACCCCAAATTTCGCACTCTTCTCTACTGCTCCCAAAGACCGTTCGAGAAGACACTACCCCGGCTGTTTCCACAAATTTAAAGTAGGCGGCCTTGCACTGTGGATAGCCGAATCGTGGTTCAGGCTATGAACTCAGAATTCGTTCCCCTAACTTGTCGTGTCCTCTAGGACAACGTGGTCTCTTTTTGGTCCGATACACTGTACTTCTTATCGTATTAATTCCATTTATAAAATTATGTATAATCATCACAGCAGGGGCGCTTGTAAGGGTACCATGGGAACTGAGCACGCGCTTGCCAAATAACGCTACGAACTCGACATCAAAGATCTGACAGAAACTCCTATTAGCGCAGTCCGCGCGAAAAAACTGAAAAAGGCGAGAAGTGAACCTTTAATAGACTAGTCTTTTTCAGCCATCCGAGTGAGACGGGAATCAATCTCTTCGAGAGTCAATGCTCTACAATGCATAAAGTACGCTCGTCAATAAAACACCATCAGGAGCCTACCAAAGTAAAAACCGAAGTTTTTTACCTGAAAATAGGGTCATTTCTTGAGACGACACCAATTTCGATCTCTGAAGACTTAAATTCGAGAGCCAGAACATGTGAGAGGCAACTGATTGCTGCTTCGATTGCTTCGTCTAGTGTGTATTTCTGCTGCTTCCTCAACTACAAAGCGATTAATGCAGTTAAGCAAATTCATCAATAGTACACATCCTGTGAAAAGGGAACTAGATGAACCAAATTGCATCAAGAAGTTGTACACAGGATTTTAGGGCGCGTCTAAGACATACCTTTTTCTCCAAGTAGTTCTTTGCTTCCATCTGCTTTGTACCTACAGCTGCAGCCCGATGACCGGAAACAAAGCCACTGGGATCGGTTTTGTAAAGTTGTGGGCAGTCAAGCTCAACGTCATACGAGATAGCCATCATGGAACAACCAAGAGGTCGCATCTCTGCGGACTGTGTGTATACTTGATTAATCTCACCGATTCGTCTTAAAAGAACATCACAAGGCATTTCATAACTGTGGAATAGGGCGAAGAACCATAACAAACCCAAATTTATACTTAAAATTGGCAGCTTCGTATCGAGCACGCTGGACCTGCGATCTACAGTCAGGCATCATGCCAGTCATGAGGCATCCAGTGCGTGGCGTCAGAGAGAAAAGTCGCGACACAGAAGCACGATCAATTAACTTGTCTGGCAACTTGCACTGGCAAGCAACAACAGCACAGTCCTCTCCACGAATGCCAACCGACGTCAAGCCATCGAGACTGATAGCCTTGAAAGTGTATTCTGGTGTTGTTTAAGGCGTTGGAATTTGACATACCAACTTGGAAAAGCCTCCCCTCGGGAGAAAATATAGTCATATACTGATCAAAACCACTAGTGCTAGCAGCAGCCATGACTGGCAAGTGACAAGCAAGGGTAGTCGAAGTACGCGTTTTACGCGGTAGCAGTTTAAACGCGCTCATTTATTAATTTAGATATATGACAACAAGGGCTGCGAAATGGAGTATCCCAAGTTTGCGGCAGGTGTATCACAATTTTTGCCCCAAAATGTCAAACAACATGCAACTAAAATCCCTGCAACTTAGAAATTTATCGACCGCAAATAATTCCACCATCGACTTGCATTACTAAAACTGCACTACATTTGTATTACCGTTGATTTTTTTAAATGTGCCACTATTTGATCTTATTTTATTTATTCACTGATATTATGCCCATCATTAATTTTGTCAGAAACAATTTAGGCGCTGATTCTGGGTCCTGAAAATAAACAAAATCAAAACTTGCAAGTTTTACAAGCAACTTATCCTAACTAGGTACCTATAGTATCCCTTTTATTTCCAATAAAACGTAATTTTCATCCTTAAAAATTATTGGTTTTATTACGTTCATGTGTTAAACGGCCTGGTTGTTTATAACGTGGTTCGTTCTCTAAGCGTGGATGTTGGGGTTTCAACATGGATCAAATTGCACGCATGCATATACAGTCGTTTAACTTTATGCTAAAAAGCTGCATAAAAAGAATGGTGAAGGTATACTTATTTGCTAGTGTGCATGCTTTAGTATATGCAACCTGTATACATAACCACGTCGCAAGGGGATGAGTACTCTATGAAAATCGAAGTAGGTTTAGGTGTCTCTCATTTTTGGTAATAGCTAGTTGAAATTAGTCGTCCGCGTGGATTAGAAGGGGAGAATTGCACGATTTTCCCCCATGAGGTTAGATTTTATTTCGTGGACTCATGCTATGAATAGTGCCGCCGCACGCGTCGAACTTACGGTGGCAACCTCTCGCTTGCCGTCAGAATTCGTCGGAATGATTGTGATATGGGTATCGTTGAAGTTGGCGGTGGCGAAATTCCCATCATGATACTGTCTAGTGCGTGCAATCTATCGGGGTTGCCGAGATCGGATTTTCCTAAACACAATGAAG